TAAGGTTTGTTTTGTTTTGTCAATGTTTCAAAATTATAATAACCGCTAAGTAAGGCAACGACGATAGTATCAATAATGATAGTTGTCTTGGTAACTCTTAGCATTATAGGTATTAATATGTTCACAGGTTCACTAGCGAGTGCTTAGAGAATTTGTGTGGAGGTTCTTAATAGTTACTGCTAGTGGTGTTATACTAAAATCTTAAGGCACATGTGTAATCATGTAATCGAAGGTCAAACTAAGTCCTCAGTTGTCATAAATGCAACACCACATTCAGGCACTTCCACTCCTGCCCCCAGATTATGCCATGAATACTACATAGTTGAATATACTCTGACACAAGCCTTATATGGCAGCATATGAGACAATTGGATTTCTATGTGATTTCTCAGATTGCTTATTTATAATCATACAAATAAATCTCTCTACATAAAAAAATCAATTCAAATTAAAAATAACACTTATATGAATAAATCTGCAAATTTCTATAATTATTTTGTAGTTATTTTTGGATATACTTAATTTTTAACAAACTACAGTGATTATTTATTATACAAAACTAAAAGTCAATAACAGTGGTAACTATTATACCGGTACATGCAGTTTTATAAACATTATTAATGTTTGTAACTTTCTTATTAATAACCTTTAACCGTAATATTTAGTTACTAACCTTTATTAGCAGGGGAAATAAAGCACTCAAAATGCGTCACGCACAATATTTATTACCACTTCGAAAGATAATTTGATTAAGATTCGGATTTTCGAAAATAACCTGAAAACCCAAACAATTTTTTTTTTTAATTAATGCATTGACATATATAGGGAAGTGCAAGTTAAATTGTGTAAAAAAGTATAAATCAATACCGATTATTTAACTGAAATATCAATTAGTGGTGTGCGTAAGTGAAATTTACGATATGGGAGTGACTATTGTTTTTTATGTATAAAAAAAATATTTTTGAATAGGCATAATTTATGGTTGCAACACGGTGGACGTTAAAATTGTAAGAAATACCAGTCAACTGATCGATTTCTCAAAAATCCAAACCCGAACTCGAAGTTACTCGGGTGGACAAACTCATTACGAAAACTCGGCTCAACCTTGAATAAATTAATTTTCTCTAAACGTCTGGTCGTACCTTAGAGAATTAAAAAGCGTGGCCAAAAAAGTGAAGTGAGTTTCCAAATCATATACAGATGAGATATCTGAGTTAAGTTTGAATCAATGAGGCAGTATTTCTAAATAGAAATTAGTTCTTGAAATCATACTAGATGTCACTCAAATGTTTGGATTTTATTTATGATGTTCATTCAATTTTTTTTCTGACGTAATAAAAGTAAATTTAGTATTGAAAATTAATAAATATAACATCATTATGTGTTTCTTATAATATATAACTATCAAATTAATTTAATCGTAAGTTTAAGTTGCTTATTATTTTACGTGTAAAGGAACGATGTCTGCTTTATACGTCAACATTAGTGATGAACCAACTTATTGGTTGCTCGTAACTTTCATCCGAATTTAGGTTTGGAATGAAGAATTAAAAGCGGAGCGCAGAATTTTGCTTGTATTTATATATGTCATTATGCATCCACAAAAGGAATGGATATGATATTAATATAAATATCAAAATCAATTCAGTCTAGGCTATTACCTAGAATTTGAGAAAGTCGAAAACTTTGCAAATAGTTCGCAAAACTAAGGCGGAAGATCTCGTACTGACAAGAATCGGCAAGAAACTCAGCAAGGTCTGCTTTTTTAATTTCAACTATACAACTCAACTATACTATATTTACAACTCAACTATTTATACTATACTATATCAGTAGTAGCTCTTTGGTGTTGTGGATAAGCGTCACGGCCTGCTATCGTTGTCGTTAAGCAACTTTCGCAAGGGTCGGTCACGGGATGGGTGACCAAAAAATTATTATCTCGACCTACTCCGTGCATCGGAAGGCACGTTAAGCCATTGGTCCCGGCTGCATTTGCAGTCGCATGGGGCCAGCGTGGAGGGTCATGGCCCATCCTCCTTAAGCATCCATAAGGAAGGCCTGAGCCCCTGCAGTGGGGACGTAATAGAGCTGATGATGATGATGATACTATATTGAGGAAGGCAGCGATTTTAAAGAGAGCATGACTACTCTAGGTACTTAGTAAATAATATATTTCAATAAAACTGATTTCTAGAGTAGGTTGTGTAGGAAGTCATTCTGTTATTAACAATATTATTGTAAGAACCAAACAGCACATACCCACCATACGAATTAACTTAACACGTGGCTCGATGTCCGCTGTCGACATGCGAGATCAGTAGCAATAGTATTATAACTGTCTTTGTGATTTTGAAATTTAAAGTTATAACCAGAGGTCGGAATTAGGTAGAGTTATTTATGTACTTGCATCGAAATGTTGATATTAATGTGGACCTTCCCGGGATTTCTAATGGACAATCCCGTGTGGCCAACAATCTTACAACTAAATAATAATAACAACGTCAGAGATAGACAAATAAAACAAAGATAATTAACATAAAATTTTTATTAATTTACAATACAAATTTTGCAACTTTGGACATTCGATGTCATTGATGTAAGCTTGGCAACATCGTGCGTGCAGTAGTTTAAATTGTGTAAAAGTAAATAACTTTTTATTTAAAAAATCACGGGATTTTTTCTGATCTTTAAAATTAATCTCGGGATTTGAGGCATATCCACTTTATTCTTTCGCTGTATGAAATCAGTGTAAGTACATGAATAACTCTACCTAATTCCGACCACTGGTTATAACCTTGCTGTTCGTTTAGAACAGATGTTTCTTGTTGATTGCTGAATGATTATTGAGATGATTTAATTATGAATATAAGATTTATGAACTGATCATAGTTTTTTCAAGTCTTAATTTCGAAAGCATAAGTTATTTGCACGTTTCACTGAGCACAAACGTCATTTTAGCCAGAAGTCATGTTATTTTGTACGAATACCTAGTATATTTGATACATATCGTGTAAGTATATAGATAATAAACGTATTTTTTATTATAATTATTGTTTTTATGACTTTTGTTGCTGATTAATAAACCCTATTCATTCATTCACCATACATAATATAAAAATATTATTGAGACTTGATGTAGTTTTGTTGTTGTAAGTTCAACAAAAATTTAATAGCAATATAACTAACTTACCCAGTTGTTATTGTTTTCAGAACTTTTGTTAAATATTACAATGAAAAATTCCTAGACCTATCATGGCATAAATATTTTATTTATAAAAACTATTTGGTTGTAATATTATTTTGTACCGTAGCTTAATGCCACTCTTAATTATATCACAGCATTAATTCAATTGATGTCCATAAATTAAAAAAAAAACCTCTGTGCTCATTTCTATTATGTTAGTTTCCATTTTCCTCTATACAAACAAAAAGAAATTTATTCAAAGATTACTTTGTATTAATCAAGTTGCGTTTGCATAACTTGAACTAATTAAATTTCAACTCGATATTAATCGTTGTTATCAGATCCATAACAACACTGAGAATTCTGTTCTCTTTGGTTTAACGTCATGACGCTTAGATCCAACAATTTGTGCTGCCATCTAGTGACATAAATTTTCGTAGTTTCTTTTTTTTAAATACTTCCTTAATAAACTTCTTCTGTATTTAAATACTAAAACGGAAGCAAAGGACAATAAAAAATAATCTATACTAATCGTGATTCATCAGTCTACATTATTCATAATTGAAACTAGAAAAAACATTAAATAAAGGTATTACTGAGGTGGCTTGTGGCCAAATAACCATGACACCAATGTAAATTCTAGATAAAATTAATAAAATAGTAACTTGGTTGAGAGATTACACCACCCGACGTCTAAGGTAGTGTAAATGCGAATGTAGAAATCTAACTAAGGGTCCTACATCAATTGAATTGCGTTTCATTTTTTCTAAAATTGTAAGATGAGGGAAATCAAAAACAAATGAGGAAGTATTAAAAAAAAAAACATTAGTTCTAAAAAACATTAAAAAAACATTAATTAAACAAGATGTCGCTACAGTACGATCTTGATTTCTCCATGACAAACTTTCCGGTTTTCTTTCATGTTTAAAAGTAAATTAGTTTTCAAAACTTAATAAACAACTTATATTCTATTTGTACTTTTTCGTATTTGTATTGATATCTAAGTTTCGAACTTCTCAAATTTCAGTTTTTTGAATATGTTACTTAAAAGAACGGAATTATTGTCTTAGGTCCATTCGTTTCCTGCAAAAATCAACTTTTGCTAGATTCGCCATCTAAGAAGTATTAAAAAAAACGAAAGCACTTAAAAGCACCCCACTAGTTGGCGACTCTAGTAAAAGTTGATTTTTGCAGGAAACGAATGGATCAAAGATAGTTATTTCCGTTCCTTTTAACTAACATATTAAAAATTCTATTTCGTTCGAACCTATCAAGTTCGAACCTTAGATATCAATATAAATACGAAAAATTACAAATAGAATATGGGTTGTTTATTGAGTTTGGAAAATTAATTTACTTTCATACAAGAAAGACAATCGGAAGGGTTGTCATGCAGAAATCAAGAAATTAGCGTAGCGACATCTAGTTTGATTTCGGGAACTAATGTATTTTCTAATACTTCCTCATTCGCATAAGTAGAACGTCCAACCAACATCGGTTAGACCGCGGTGCACGGGCTAAAAACGATTCGTACTGTACTTTGATTACTGAAACGATTAAAAAAAATCAGTAAAAACGATTGTCCTAAATCTCTTTTCTAAAAGATCCTGGCATCCCTATTTAAAAGTTCATTTCATGCATCTTGTATTGCATTTATTTTTATATTAAAGATTGGAGAAATTGGGACGAAATTTAAAATTTTATTTGCATAGTTGAGATTTTTATTTTTGTTCGCTATTTTATAATATAAATATTTGAATGTTCTATCACATTGAATATATAAAATAAATAATTATAAAAGAAACGTGAAGATGAGGTCATCTCTGTGACCGTTGTCAAAACATGGAAGCGATTAGTCGGGCGAATTATTGAAAATCTAAACAAGCTTTGCAGTTTCTTTAATTCTAATTACGAAAATGGGTTTATTTGGCAAATCTCCTGAAAGAAATCCGAAGGAAATGGTAATTGGGCTATGTAATATTATTGTTTTATTGAATTGAAAGGCAGAAATGTTTAAATTTTTATTTTTTTAGGTAAATGAATGGTCACATAAATTACGAAAAGAAGGCTACAATTTAGATAGGCAAATACGAGGTATGATATATTACAATTTTGTGAGTGCCTAGCTAATTATCTTTAATATTGATAGTAATACAATATTAGTCAACCTTGAATGATAAAATGTAAATATATTTTAAAGACTAATACACTAACATAAAGTTGAATTATGCGATTTTAAGCGAATTGATTGTGGTTAATAATAATATAATATGTTTTTCTATGTGCATTTTAATTATATTTTTGTGTATAAGTATATCAATTAGGTATGAATATTACTGCTACCAATAAAGATAGATTGCTAATGCGTTTGTAGGTATACAACGAGAAGAAGACAAAATTAAACGATCACTTAAGGAAGCAGCTGCAAAAAATGATAAACAAGTGTGTACCATATTAGCTAAGGAAATCATCAGATCTCGGAAAGCAATCAGCAAAATATATACAAGTAAAGCACACCTCAATTCAGTTCAGATGCAGATGAAGAACCAGTTAGGTGAATAATATAATATTTATCTTAAAGAAAAATATGAATATAGCATAGTTAATTCAACATTGGTCAGTTATATTGAAACATTCTTTTCTTTTAAATGTTATTAAGTTCTAATAGAAATTAATTGACCTCTGTTTGTCCTATGCCATGGAGTTTTTTTTTGATTCAAATAAAATAGGAGAAATGCAGTTCTAATAACCAGTAATAGGCAATTGTAAATTTATTTACATTATTTGTTTCAATACACAAATTCACATTATTTTTTTAATAACACAAGTCTTACTATTTTTTTTTTAGTTATAATTTTTCAAAAACTTTTTGTGAAAGACTCTTGTGAAATCTTAAATATTTTATTTGTGTATTATTTCAGCAACCCTAAGAGTAGCTGGATCCTTACAGAAATCAACAGAGGTAATGTCATATTTTTGTGTTAGATAAATATTACGTAATATCCATCTTCTATGTATACCACTAGACAAGCTGTGTGATATTGAAAAATTATGTGCTAAGTCTTTGTTTCAATGCAACACTGCCATTTAGTCAATTGCGAGCTAGCAGATGCCTAGCAAAAGTAGTGATCAACAAACTAATGCTTATATTTACTATTGTAATTGATTTACTTGTCATTAATTGTGTGTGCATTTTGTTTAAGCGATTTCAAGTTATTTAAATGAATAACTATGCTTATTCTTACTTTTTATGATTGCCTTAAGTATTATGATTGCCATCTTGCTTCATTCTTATTAGTCATTTAAAATGGCAATATGCTTACACGCACATATACTGTGTCACAATTAAAGTTTAGAACACTTTTCTTGTCTTTGATTCATAACAATAATTTTTATTTATTGAATATGATCAAAACAATTAGCTTTTGTTATGCAAACTTATTACCAAATCTAACTTATTAATTTACAGGTAATGCAAGCAATGCAGGCATTGGTACGTTTACCAGAAGTAGCTCATACTATGCAGGAGCTAAGTAAAGAAATGATGCGAGCTGGTATCATTGAAGAGATGCTTGATGAAACCATGTCTGGAATGGAGGATGAAGAAGAAATGGAAGAAGCGGCACAGGGTGAAGTTGACAAGGTATAAATAAATAAATATTATACATAAGTTACATTGCTGAACCTATATAACAGAGCTAAATTAATGAAGGTACTTTAACATTCAGACCTGGGGTAATATAAAAAAAGGCCAATTTATATATTGACCTGACTGGGCAACGAGCCTCAGCTACAGACTTGGTTGACAATAGGAAAATTAATAAAAATATTTTTGCCCCTTTTCTATATAATAGGTAAGAAAACCATTTTTAGCCATGGAAGTCATCAAGTATAACGGGTATTTTTTATTGTAGGTTTTATGGGAGTTGACACAAGGCAAGCTGGGCGAAGCCCCGGCTCCTCCTATGGCAGTTGGTGTTCCTTCTACATCGAAAGAAGCAGAAGTCCCAGAGCCGGATGAAAATGAACTCGACGAGATGCAATCAAGGCTAGAAGCACTACGCTCCTAGGTACCTAATATATAAAAAGCTTCCTTGAAGTAGCGGTATTTTTATGGTTGAAATTTACTTATTATTATATTTGATCAGTTCTGAAATTAATTCATAATTGATCAAATATAAATGCTGAAAAATATTATTAATGAAAAATGCTTAGAAAAAACAACTTTGTCCATGGCACATTGAACCCAAGACCTTTCGTAATCCGGGCAACTGCTCTAACCACTGAGCTACCCAGGACCTAATAGGACTGATGAATTTTTCAAGCACTTGTAACTTTTTCTATACTACAGAGCGTATTTTCATCAATGGCAATCCACCCAAAAGGTTGAAAGAAAAATTTGCACAAATATTTTAAACTTCCGACAAAGACGAAAATTTGTTATAATTAGTCTTGGAACTTTAAAAAGAATTTTTTAAGCATTTTTCACTATAAAATTTACTTCTCGTAACTATGCGATTTCGTCGATGCGATGGAAATAAATAAATGTGCCACCATTTGAAGCTTAATGAATCTCTACTGATGCATGCACAGCTATAAACACAGGTTTCGAATCGTTCTGCTATTCTCCCTTTATATGCTATGAGCATCTTAGAGAGGGCGAGATAGAATACCGCTGTCTACTCTCTCTTTCTAACTGAAAGTATGATCTGTACTTTTGACTTAAGCGTCTCAGAATTTTTACTTTAGTATAAATTTCAAAGAAAATTTAAATATTTGGTCTTCGAAGCTAGTGAGTTGTTTTAAGCTTACATGGACAGTTACATTTGAATTATAGTTTTCTACGGAAATGTTACCATATACCTTGTTTTTATTGAGACATAGTAGCGATCCTGTAGAAAACTAATTTGATGCTAATGTTGTCTAATCATCATTACTCACATCAAACTTTCGAGATTTTTGGTTACCCACCCTATGACTAGCCTTTGCGAAAGTTGTTTACAACCGTATTGCAGATCGAGCGCGCTAACCACTGCGTCATCTAGCTCCTACTTGTGCTGTAGAATAGTAATTAATAGTCCTTTTAACATAGTCCAATGAAATAGAATCGCACGCTGAAAACGATAGTGACATAATGCAAAAAATGCGATTTTCAGTACTGGGCGTTTAAAGTTCAAGAAATTGTTATGACTGCAGTTTTATGATAAAGACTATATAGCTTTAATACAATGTGAAATTTGCCGGCTATATTTAGTGCAAAACGACAGTAGCAAAAATGACTATTTATCGTAGACCAAGTTCCTAGTACTTCGGCGTACCCGCTGCTACTGAAAAAGTGTGGATGTCACATGATGTCATACGCTCCGCCCCTATAAACAACGTATAGTAACTACGCCACCTAGCAGTTTCTATGCAAACTACGTTTACAGGGATCTTTAAAGTTTTTACTTGACAAAGACAGATGTCGCCAAATGTAAAAAATACCTCGTTTTTAGTAAGTGACATTGTCATTCTCAATGTGCGATACTTATATTCGATTAATATTTCGTACGTTTTTGTACGATTTTGAGTAACGAGCGTTTAAAGTTCAAGAAATTGTAATCCGCCCCTCTAAACAACGTATCGTCACTACGCCACCTAGCAGTTTCTATGCAAGCTACGTTCACAGGGATCTTTGCATTATTAAGTTTATACTTAACAAAGAAAAATGTTGCCAAAAGTAAAAAATACGTCGTTTTTGGTTAGTGACATTGTCATTCTCAACGTGCGATTTGTTAGATACCAATTTTAATCGTCGATTTATGAAATTGTTTCAGACTGAAGCAGGGTCTACATGCGACTAAATCGCAATCGCCTTATAAATAACGTGTACATATTAATTAACTTAACAGTTAGTTTGCGGTATTAAAGAGTTGTTGAAGAGATTTTCCGCATTTTGTGATGCCTTTTATAAATTATATTGATGTTTTGTATATTATTGATCTGTTTTAATGTAAAAATATAAGATTTTTATGTGTATACCTGTGTACATAACACAGTGGAACTAACAAAACTAATGAATTATTCATTATGAAGATTTCATTTTACTCTATATAAATTTTATTATATTAAAAGAAAGAAACAACTGCTCTTATAAATGTCACTTGCTACTTTTCTTAACAACCTGACTACATGCCTTAACTACTTGGCTAAGAGGTAAAATAAATTATTTCTTGTAAGTTACCAGTTCATGATACCCATAGTTACCAGACTATCGGTCTGTTGCACAAACGTCTATTAAGATTTAATGACGCCTTTAAGTTCTAATGGATGTCGTATTTGTATGGGTAATGTAACTAATGAATAAATAAAATTTAATGGATGTTTGTGCAACTGGCTGTATATCTGATAAATACGTTGTTTATGACAGTAATACAAAGTTAGACACATTAAGTCATTCAAATGTTCTAATTTGTTTTACAAACAAAAAATTTTATCTGATATTAATAACAAAAAATTACATGTTGATTGTATGTTTCATTTATATTTCTTTATCATCAAAAATGAACATAGAGTGTAAGTTTTATTCCATTACATGTAACATAATAAAACTGAAATCAGAGTGGTTGACAAAAAAATTTTTTCTTAACTTGGAGAACAAAATAAACATGAGTAGCTAAAATTAAACGATAACTTATTTATAAAAGTTTCGAAAATCAATGCGCTGTTATAACATCAAAAATAAAATCTGAACACGCTCAGAATGCTTGTCATAGACAATGAGATGATAAATATTACAGATATTTCAAAGTAATTAGCGACATCTAGTTTGATTTAGAGAATTAATTTTATTTAATTATTTCCACATTGAATGTGAAGATTTCAACGAGTGTTTGAGGTTTGAGAAAAATAATGGTAATATTATCGCAAATATCAGGTTTGGTCTATGATTGGACAGACCAACAGACCAACGCTGTATGGTGCGCTAACAGATTATTCAGGGTTTTATTTTGAGATCAATCAGGAGCCGGACTAAAGGTATGCATATATGTATGTAGAGCAGCTGGTTACAAAATACCATTTATCTTCAATTAATATTAAGGCTTAATTTGTTGAGAGTTCAGTAAATAATTTATTTTAGTAATTATACGTAGTGGTTTTTACTATTTTAAAAAGCACAACCTTCATTATTTCATGGTTCATACAAGATGTCACTTGAAAAGGTAAAAATATTTTACAATTACAATAAATAATATATCACGCTTAAGACCGCTTGTTATACGATAACAGTAATTGTAATATATCTTGGAATTGATAACTTAACACCAGCTATCTGTTTCTGAAGTGTACTATGAAAAGTACAACCGTCTCCTTCCTATATAACTTACCATCTAGTGCTCTAGTTAGAAAGATCTATCTAGGATACCTTCATTATGCTTTCGTGTACGTGTACAGTATATTGTCGGTGTTGTAATTTACAATATATTTTTAAGAAATACTTTTAAAACACAATATGTGTATTTATACCTCAAACTTAGGCTTATTTTAAATTGTATATGTCGTGGGCAAATCGTTGAATTGGGCCGATCGAGCTCTGCCCGGGTATATCACGATATGCCGCCATTGATTTGGCCAGAAAAATCACGATCGGCTCGGTTAAAAGTTTGGTAGATCGACGAGAGCAACGTATTTATCGATTTATTCGATTTTAACTACATGTTACTTGCTTTTATTTTATTTTTTTGAAATGGACGGTAGGATAAAACCCCTTTTTGTTGCCCATCTTTGCTTACACAGTACTTTGGTTACCCTACAAAATCGATAGGCCTGAATATAGTCGGGCAAATTGTCAAACCCTAAGCATTGAAAGTTATGTCGGGTGATAGATGGCCAAATCAAGAAATGGCGTAATATTGTGATATGCCCGGGCAGATCTCGATCGGCCCAATTCAACGATTGTCCCACGACATATATAAGAAATAACACGTAGGTATTTATTTATTTATAGGTTGGTTATCTTGCATTACAACACATCGACGTAAGATATCACCGTTATGTAGTAGCACCGTATGTACCGTATGTAGCACCGTATGATAATTTCTCATTTGCTTATCACATACAATCTAATGCAGTTTATTGAGCGTACAAAATTCATCACATTGTATTTTGTATTGAGAATGGATGTTACGTTCTGCAATAAATAATCCACTAACGATATTGTTTCGTTTTAATTGGAAAACCCTGTTCACGTATTGTTATGAAGCTGATACCAGGGTACAAAGTTTTAGTATGCATATACCTTGGATCAGGTGAGATAGCTTGTTATCGGTCCCGAAGCAGAGTGTGGAGTAATACCTTTCGTGGTGATTTGAATAGCTTTCAGATGGGTGGTTCTGTAGGGATGGATTCCCACACATTCTTACCGTCTGTCATGGCAGGTCTAGAATCTGAAACCTAGTTGCAGGACCTTAGGTAGATCCTTTTGCCTCCACCTCCCACGTGAGGGTACTTCACAGCGGATTTTTAATATGTAACCAAACTGACATCGATATTTTGGGTGGATCCTAATGATTGGAGAGCAATGGTTTGAAGCATAGAGCGTGTGCATACCGCGTTTTTGAAATGCGCGTCGACGCGCTTTTGAAGTGATACAGACGTGATACGCAATTTCATGTGTATACTCTATATCGCTAAAGATGCGTGTCTATGACCCGTTTAAAAATGTGCACACGCTCTAAATGTGCGTTTTCCTGCGTTAAAAAAAGTGGAATAGCCTAATATTAATTTCACCTTAAATAATTGACTACAAGAATGTGATCATCGGTGTCATTAATTTTTAATTATCTATAAGGAAATAAAGTCTGAATAAGCGGCAATTGAAAATGGCACATCATATTTGTAAGAGACGCGCAATGCTCTATTGTCTGTCATCTACCTCACTGATGAGCTCGTGAGTTTATTTCCTTATCTCTTTGATCTTTACGCTCAGCTTTAAAGTATACGCAACTTGGCGGTTCCTAAGCTAATAGAGTTTAGTATTCCTTACAGTTGCTATCGCCAGTTCAACGACAATCAAATCACAACCTGTTGTATACTTTCTTATTCTTATTTGCCCTACAAAAGCAAAATGGGAACCAATCGGGTAGGTTTTGTCTTCACAGGTCCCGTCGCTAAGCAATGCTTTCCTTCTAACTTTCGAATTTGACAATTTTTTTTACAAAATTCCTGTGCAAATATATCACACACTTCTAAATATTGACAGTATGCAAGTCTGTGTCAATCTATATGCACTTGACTTTTCCTTTAAATATCTATTTTGTTTAGAAAATCATAAATGAAAATACATAAATTGTTTTAAAAATATAATCGTAATAATACTCCGAGTAGCTTATCACAGAGGTCACAGCATCGTGGAGGACAGGCTATAGCAGCACAATGGGGTCTACTGGCTAACGTATGATAATAACACAAGTAGACACGCCGGCAGGGGAATTCCCACCCATAGACTACAGAGGCGGGCCGTCACAGCATCTTCGATGACAGATCTAGATCCAATTGCAACTCGTGTATGGATTCCTTCTTCAGTAACGGTTTTTTGTCATTTTCCTTTGGCTTTTTCAAGTTTTTTTTCTTTGTTAGTCTGTGAAAAAAAATCACTAATTTAATGACCTAGAATATTTAGCGAATTTTGCATTCAATAGTAATTGTCGTTCACGGAACGTCAGAAATGAAAAAAAAAAATTGCCATGCCTTGTACATTCGACGGAAGACATTTGACGGATTGTCCGTCGGATTTATATCTGAACAATATTCACCTAGGAATACGGTCAAATTTTCTTAAAATTCTCTTTATATTTTTAGGGTTCTGAACTTAAATTGATCGAGATGTGCCACTAATTTAGATACTAATTAGAAATAGGTTTATGTCATACGTCATTTGCTGTTAAAAGTTTAAGTTAAATAAGGTGGATGTTAAAAATGTTAGCTTACTTGATATAAAGTATATTTCGATTTGAATGACTGAAAGATCGTTGTATTTGTACCTGTTATGAACGCCGTCAGGATGATCCATCATACGTAGTATGTCTGCTTGATCTGAGGAGTCGAGTGGCGCCACGGAGATATCTCTGACGGCTCGGAACTTGCCGCAGTTGTTCAGGTGCTCGTTCTCCAGGCGGAAGAAGTTCCAGATGAAACGTCTAACAAGTGCAAAATTAAAGGTCTAACGGTAACGTAACACGCATATTTTCTTCTTGGACAACAATCAAGGATCTTTAATACTGCACTAATATGAGAAGTACAAGGTGTTCAATTTTCAAGTTAGCAGAATTCACCAGAAACTGGCACGCAGAAGATATTCTAAGTACAGTATTACAAAGATAATCAAAGTACTCAAGATTATAGGCACCAAAAAATACAGGAGGCAGTTAAAAATATTCTACTTTGATGTCATAAGGTAACTGTAAGAGTTTGGAGAAAAAGCTTTCCCACTGCAACGTGATAAATTTTTTAATATTGAATTATTTAATTCTTTATTTTATTGCAAGCAAAGTTGAACCTTACGCCCTTACCTAAAGACTTCAAGCGGTGCTAGTATAGACACCATAGTCTCAGCGCCGACGAGATTATTCTCGGTGAGAAAGAATGACGCTATCCAAATAAAGCGTAGAACGAAATCTTCAACAATCGCAAAATAGTAGAACTGAAACAAATGAAACTTCAACATTAATTTATTTATTATAATGATCAAAATTTTTTCGTTGTCAGTGGAGGCAACACTTAAATTTAATATCACAATTGCAATCTTAAAGAGAAACATTTTCAAAATTTAGTTAATTAAAAAAGTTTTCGACATGCAGATTTTGATTTTTTAAATAATTACCGCAAAGGTAATCTGTGTTTTCGGAAATTGAGCAATCTTTACACAGGCCGGTCATTGAAGGGTGACCAGAAATTTATTCTCCAGCTCTTCAAATACGGTAAGTATTGTGTATTGTTGGACTTGGCTGCAGCGGCAACCCTAAAAATTCACTAACCAACAATCATTGAAATAAATACGTACCATAGACCTAAATCCGTAAGCCTTAGTTAGAGCTTAGCCAACAATATGGGTAAAATTCTTAATGGTTTGATTTTGATTTTGAATATGTGACCGCGACACCTAATTTCAAACTTTAATCGTACTACTCATACGAACACGACACCCGGATGCTTATTCTATTTCTTTAAATTTATTTATTGTTTATATAATTACACGACGCATTGGCGTGACTTGACAAACAGCTAGAAAAACTTATTTTATACCCGCGAAAACGTTGCCCGACATGTTCATGACGTCATTCGGTTACGTATACAAAACAGATGCACAGAGTAGTCGATTAAAATATGTCAGTAAAAGAACAACAGAGCCATTTAACAGTCTGTTACGAAATCTAGGAATTTGATGTATAATAAATGGGCGTTGCTTACGACTAATCTGACAGCTGTCGCACGAGTAACGCCACACAATGGCGGGTTGTGTTTCAAGTCACGTGACACACATAGAATCTCGTCTTTTAATTTTAAGATATTAAGATAATCATGTGATTTTATGACTCAAAATCAAACTTTCTATGTTTTTTACGATGTAAATTTTATTTTTTGTATAATTATATAATTTCATGACTTATTTTTTACTACCGAAACCACCCTATTGTTTTTGTATTCTAAATATAAGAATGGGTTTCATTGCAAAAAGGTTTTCATTGCAGGTCAAAATTGGACAAGACAACGTTGACCGACTCACCCCTGGACTGTAAACGATCTCCTCCCTGAGGAATTTATTCTCTGCGTTGGGGCCGCAGCTGAACAGGCCCCAGTCCATCTTCACGTCCCACGTGTACGTGTACAGAGAGGAGATCAACTGGCACGCGAACCATGCGTACAGGAACGGGTTGTCATACTTGTTGTTGGTGTATTCACCTAGAGATTTTATACAAATGTGTAACAACATTGAAGCGTATAACTTCACTGTAATACGGAAGATCCCACCCCCACTCCTTACGGAGAATTTATAGTAGACACAGTCAAGCATGTCAGCCTATAAAACTGTCCAATTACTTCACTTGATTTCAAACCAAAATATATTCACGGTAAGCTCTAAAGTCCCTCCAATCCGCATTGGGCGTGGAGGGTCATGGCCCATCCTCCTTAACCATCCATAAGGAAGGCCTGAGCCCCTGCAGTGGGGACGTAAAAGGGCTGGTGATGAAGCTCTAAAGTCAACTGCGGATATTTGACATATAGAGGCTACTTGACGTGTACTAGTACTTGTAAACTGTGCGTGTCTGCGCACTTAAATGGATGTGAACCCTTTTCCCTTTTTTCAAAGCAACAAACCATAAGGAATAACTCCCCTAACTTTAATTTGAGAAAGTGATTCAATAAACGGATCTAAAATAAGTCTGACGAATTGCATCGTACTCCATTCGTAATCGAGTAAAGATTCGATTTCGAAATGCAACTCTAGCAAATGTTACACACTCTTATAGAATGTTACCGTGCTATAAAATGTTTTGTGATGTTACATAACTACTGTATTCAAGTACCTTTATTTGTAAACTTAAAGAATCAATACTTATTGACGGAGAGTTCGTGACAAAAATATGCAAGAGCTTGGGACACTTGGTGGGGGTGGCGCGAAACTTCTTGCGATTGCTGAATGGGTTTGTTCCATTTAATGAAAGTCTGAGTATTTAATTATTAATAATTTATTACGCAACTTTTTTGTTTAGTGACTGGCCAATCTGAGTAGTTTAGACAACTTTTATTTATATTAAGAATAAGTTTATCGCAAATTTTAAACAAAAAAACAAAACACCAAAATACCGCAGACACCAGTTCCAGTAACTGACTTACCCTTAAAACTTCAACATACAGTAATCAAGCTTTAGAAAGCTCTAACACATTTTTGAAACGATCTCTTAGCCTATTATGAACTCACCGCTATAGATAGTCTTGAGCGTCGCAAACAGTACCACGAAGAACGTGGTGGAATATTTTCCAGCGTTGACGAGGTGAGGGAACGCCTCCTTGCTGTCCCGGTACCGACGCAGGCACTGCCAGAACCGGGACCATGCCGGTATTATGTTCACCAGCGCTCGACTCAGGATAAACCATCGGGTCATCTGGAACGTGTCTGCGTACACAATTTTATTTCAGGTATGTACACGAATCGAATAAAAAGTGTAGTAGGGTGGCGTTGGACCTGTTGGACTTGTGTCAAATTTCAACGCGCTATTATGCATGCGTTCGAGCATAGTAAAAAAAGAATAGTACGCCGAGCGATAAAAGCCAACTACTCTTCAACTTTGTATCGTCGATCATTACTTTTCATAATTATGGGAGTAATTTGCTGGCTAGTATTTCTTTCTAAATCATATTAAAATGCATATGGCCATGGGTGTAAATTTTGTTTCCCCTTTTTATATAATGGTTGTATTCCGTATTTTTAAGTAAATTAGTCCAAACGGTTTTAGTTTAGCTAGGTGGCGTAGTAGATATGCGGCTCGCAAACGTTGTTTTTAAGCATCTTTCGCAAGGGTCCGCAATGGAATTAGTGACCATAAAATTATTATGTCGAGCTACTCCGTGCTTCGGAAGGCACGTAAAGTCGTTGGTTCCGGCTGCACTTGCAGAGTACCCTCCAATCCGCATTGGGCCAGCGTGGAGGGTCATGGCCCATCCTCCTTAACCATCCATATCGAAGACTGAGCCCCTGCAGTGGGGACGTAAGAGCTGATGATGATGTATATGAACAATTTTTTGCAACGAGTTTTGAACTCTGCTTATAATGAGTTAAAGTTTAACAGCCGATCACGTACCCAGCACGTGATTTCCGTAAGAAACAAACGCACGTAACGTGTTACCAACTACATGTTACACGCAGCTATTAACGTGATAATTTAAGTTTTCGTTGAATAGATATTTTCAATGTTTACATTGTTTGTTTTTTTCATATAATTTAAGCAAATAACCCTTTTAATAATTTTTTAAGGAAAATTCTGAAGAATTTCTATTCATAAAACAGATAAACTTACCCTGAACATTAAACCAGTCACCACTGACAATGTAGAAAGCTACAAGGTAGTGGAAGTCCAGGAAAGCATTGGCGAACGAGTTCCACTGGTCCGCCAACCAGAAATCCGCGAATAACACGGGCATAAAGGGGGCCGCCAATATCCTCCCCTGGAAACAATCACCAGTACTGATGATACCACATCAGGTTATGCAAAACTACGAAATTATGTTCAATCTTTAGTATACTGATTGTTGTAAGAGCTTAAAAAATAAATCATCATCTCTACCTTATACTCGAATTACTTTAGTATTCCCAAACGAGCGAATCTTATGTGGGCTCTAATAGGCGATTCGCTACTGTATAAGACATACAAAGGCGTGGTTTCAGGGTTCATCGAGTGTGTTCAATTTAATTATTGGATTCAATAGATTAGAATTTGCTTTATAAATTAGAACAAATTGATTCGATTAGAACAATTCAGACAACATTAGGAAGCTACTGTGAATTAAAACATTTACAATATTTATGGTCTCTGTCCTTTAAGACAGATGCGTCTTAAGATTGAAATTTGAGCCTAGTCAAGTTTGGGAATCAGTGCTATAATCCGTTCCTAAAGCAGGTATTGCTAATTTCGCAATCAACCAGTAAGCCTTTGCTATAGATAACAAACGAAAAGAAAAATAGAGAAAAAATAATACTCACACATATCCTTAGGAACCAAAACCTAGCTTCGTGTCTAAAAACCTTCAGTGGATTCATTAGAAATGCCAACATTATTATCACAAGTGCTAACGGATTCACAAATGGCGGTATACTCAAACTAGCACTATATATAAAAGTGAGTATACTCAGCGCCCACACCACCCCAAATATAGCTGCTAACTCCATTAAGTGCTGTTCTGATAAATGGTTTCGAGGGTCCAGCTCAAAGATGAGCACATGATTGACACCAGACGATCGCCATCCATATACGTTTATGCCAATTAAAAATATGAATTCAACTAATAGGAATGGTCCTCTGTACAGTCTAAAGGCTATCTTAAAATTCTCTGTGGCACCTTCGTGGAATAACGCTGGAAATAAGAAATTATAATTAAAAAAAAACAAAAATTCATAAGCGTATCTACTAAGCTAATGTACACAGAGGAGAATATCAGGTTTAGCAAAAATTGCCAAATTTCCGGATTTGATTTTGAACTTAATTATCATCGCATTAAGGCTTAGATACGTATAATGAATTGTACTACTTTCCGTTTTAGATACGCTGACTATGCACAATTGACACTATTTATTATTAGACAACTAGTTTAATGAATTGTATTTTTTTTTGTTATTTATCTGTTATATAGAACCGCAACATAAACAAATGATCAGAAAGTAGTCCTTATATTTAAGTAAGCACCTACTAGCCCGAGATGAAACCTCTTTTTTCACGTATCGCCTACCATAGAGAGGGACATCGATGAGTTTTAGTGCACATGCTCCTGCAATTCGACCAGTCCTCATTCTGGGAGTGGGTTCATCACATAGGTAATCCGTTGACCACCGGGTATACAGTAATGCATTTTCAATCGTTTAAAAAAGTAGCTACCTACCTACTCTTAATTCGAATACCTATAAACTAAGAAGATATTCATAGATTGTCAACCAACAACCGCAAATCGTGAACGAAATTTACTGTACATATAAATGTCACCTATTTGATATATCGTTTGCAAAGGTCACCAGAACCACCTACTATGTTGAGCCGTCCTCACTAGCTCGCGGAAAATAGCAGCAAAATCTTAAAATAGTAAAGCATATTTATTTTCCTATACGACTTATGTATATTGTACACATTTGTACAACGATAAAACAGCTTATGGTCAGTGTAATTCAGAATTATAATCGCAAACTAATATTGCTTAATTTAAGAGATAAAGATTCATAATACACACACACCATAAAATTTAATTACACAACAGTTTCACGTAAGTATGGAATAATTTCCATAACCATTATCTTCTTTTGCCAATATTTAACGAGTCACAGGCAAATATAAGCTGATGAACTCTATTGTGAAGATGTTTGTTAAAGATAATAAGCTTAGACGGCCTTAGAAAAAAAACTTGGTGCTTATTCTCCTCCATTTCCGATACACTTTAAGGATGTCATTTCATTAAAATTAAATAGTTTCTATAGAAATTCTTTATTGTCATGTCTTCTCCCCGTTTCGGCAGAGGTGGAGTTTAAGAGAGCTGTGTCACATTATGTAGGAAAACCTAGACTTCGCGGCGAGATGGGAAGCGAAGTTATACGGTCAGAGGCGCCTTCAGCTGATAGATAGATGAAAACGCAGACTGAATTCTAAGTGACCTTACTCGCTACGAGAAAATTGTTTTTTGGATGTGCAAAATTGGACTTTGTTGTTATGGCGGTTTTTTCATATTTTTATCACGAAAATTACTAAATTCCAAATTAAGAAAAAGATTAATGTACAACAGTTAAAACAAAATTCTAAAGGGTGTATATGTAAAATCGTCTTTTGTGATGACAAATTAAGATGTTCTTAAGCAATATTAAAAACAAACTATACTAGTTAATTTTCACAATAGTAGGGCTAGCACTCACCGGAAAGCACTACAGTTATAAACAAGACGATGAAGGAACCAGAGAAGAGGCCCACTTTGAACGTGGTCCAGGGGCTCTGCTGTTCTCCCAGCGGTGGCACCCTGAGTTTCTTCATCGCCTTCTGTCGATCACCGCCTTCTAATTCGTTGGTGACCGTCGCCTCCGTATCGCTTATCAGTCTGTCTATGTCTTTATTTGTGTAGAAATGAGATGTCTCTACGTGTTCCGCCCGCCATTGAGCACCGTTGCTTACATTTAATAACTGTAGAGGAATTCGACATTCATGAAAATCTTGTGGCATTATAGGCTTCGGGAAGTTGTATTATCTAAAGCTTTTATGAAGAAATGGTAAACACATTCAATGATGAAAAGTGTGAAGAGGAAGACAGAAGACAAGATAAATCGATTAAGAATACACTGTGTGAAAGATTATATGCTTATGAAAGGAATGAATATTAGAATGTAGAATGACGGCTGATCAAGGCGTAAGGTTCTCCTTGGATACATATTGCGCCGACCAAATGATGCAAGATGAGGGCAAGCAAATGATGATGATAATGATGGAGAGCGCATTCAGCTTGTGACTGCAGAGGTCAATCTTTTGCAAAAGCCAGTTTCGATGAGTGGTTTCGGATACAAATAAATAGAGATATCGACCTATTAACTATCGCAAATTCATTTTTTACATTTCTAGATATTTGCCATGTATTTATGAAACCCAATGTTTGAAAAATAATCTTAGAATATCTGCAGCGATTTCGTAAATATTTTCTCAATTAATTATTTCTGGTCTGATATCAATAATAGGCCTATGTTCAGCAGTGGACGTCTTCCGGCTGATGATGATGATGATGATGATGATCAATAATTAGAATTTTCGGTGCGAGTAATTTTATTTCTTTCTCGAGAATAACATTATACATAGTTTTGCCATAAATATTGTTACATAGAATATCAACATTTTTTTTATTGAACGTAACATTTATCACTATTACAGTGTGTTAGTTTAATACATGAATATAAAGCCATCAAAAATATAAATAATTTCTTCGATGTGATCTTCATTAGCTGCAATACAGTTTTTTAAACGTCAAGGGCAATTACCAATAGATGCACGCACTCTTTCCATTGGAAAATTCATAACTGACAATCGTCAAATTTGAGGGACTCCAAATTATCATGACATTTAGAGCAAGACTTATTTTTTTAAACTGACCATACATCATAATGCATTGGATTAAGATCTGCACTAGATGACGGTCTTGAACTCTTGGTCTGCTAAGTCCGGAGTCTTGCTAAAGGGACTATTCTTGTTTACTGAACATGGTGTTGTTAAGTGGCTTAACTACCTTCTTGAGAATGCTGTCTTGATACACAAGTGCCGCTGTTTTGCTGCATTTTGCCTTCATAGCTAACATCTCATCAAACCATAGCATCAAAACATCATTGAAGTCAGATAATGTCCACTTCGTACTTTGTTGACTAATCGTGAAGCTTCTTTAGAGCTTTGAGCACAAATACGGTCATTTTGTTTGTTAAAATATTGCTCAATTGTAAAAATGTTCTCATCCGTAAACAAAATTCTTCAGTAATCTCCCTTTGCATAACGCTTAAGCAGTTGTTTTGTTAAGAAATGACCAGTTCGTCTCTTATAGGATGATGCAAGTCCTAAGTCATAATTTAAGAGATCCGAGATAAAATATTTTGTTTTCGGAGAGGGTTTATTCGAATTCTTTCCTTTACTGTTTTGATCGCCTTTTCGTACTAACACTGAGTGGACGGTCAGATATTTTCTGTCACAAACAGAGGAGGTTTCATTGTATCTATCAATAGCTCGGTACACAAACATTTGACAAATACTAAGCGTAAGGAGGGTTTTAAAAATTGTGACTGGCTCCATACCTACTGTATGCAATGCAATCACAACGATGCGGTTCTCTTTATCAACTCACTCCATTTTAATACTTCGATGAACAATAGAAGTAGATGCCCGGTTAGTCTCTAAAACGCCTCACTTCAAAGTGAGGTCTCATTTTGTTTAAGTTTCTTTGCAATGGATGGAAAAAAGTTGTGCTTTTATTGATAATAAAAGGACTTTTCTTTATTCGTTTAGTAATATAGCCGTAATTTTTTTTGGTTCTAGATATTTGACTAATGTGCTTATTTTGGACTTTCCGATAAGGGTTTTCATTTCTTCGTGGTGTTCACGTCGTGCAAATAAATAAAAATTTCAGGACTTTAGTTGGGTAAATATAATTTCCTTTGTTTAGATCTTTAATATTTTAGTGATACCTATACAAAATATTTTAGTGATAATTTGGTAGACTATTACTTGTCCACTTGTAAAGCCAGATTTAATGTGATAGTTTTTTGTTTAACTTCGTTATTAGAAATACTACTGCCGTTTGAATTTCTTACAACGACCGTTTAGTTAGTAGAGGGATATTTGACTCTAACGAAAACTGGCATTTACATCCCATAACTAGAATATTTTTGAAAGACCTATCCAACGATATCCCACGCAATGGGAAGATAAAAAATGTTTCATCCACCACTTTACATGTATGTGAGGATGTACGAGGGGAATTTTTTTTTTCGGGATTTTATTTTACCACTTTGTCGGCGTGATATATATTCATGCTTTACACCTTTCTGATACCAATAGTTTTTGAGCTAATGCGCGGACGGAAGAACAGACAGAGGACAATAAGGGTTCCTTGTTGACAGCGGAACCATAAATACCGTAAAATTAAAAATCAAAGGGACTTTATTTGATAAAAATCGGAAAAAAACATTAAATACAACAAACAAACAACCGTTTCAAAAATATTGTAGCGTCATCTAGCGAAACATCTAAATGTAACAATTTATATGTCGCTACATTAATAAATCTCCATTAAATTGTGTTATTGGAAAAACCACAAGATTTTTGCGTAACTTTCACCATTTACGATGTGCACGCAAGGAAAGCTCTCAAAAGTGAAATATTCTCCAGTTATTGCAACATTTTTCATTGGTACTCCACTCCCATTAGTTATAGCATGATGTTATATAGCCTATAGCCTTCCTCGATAAATGGACTATTCAACACAAAAAAGGATTTTAAGGAGTTTAATTAGAAAAGTTTAAGGAGTTCAATTAAACAAACAAACTCTTCAGCTTTATTATTAGTATAGATTCGGCATCAAATAAGTCGTAAACCAATGTACGATATTAATACGCAGTAAGGAAACTATCTGTATGCAAGAAATCGAATCTATTCGATAGCCATTCAAATCATTGACCAAGTACCTTTATCTTATCTTCATTATTTATGATTTGCAGTTGATAAGTAGGTACAGACGTATTTCATCCTTTGTTATTGCCGATTTAGTAATGAATATTTTGGACTCAAAAGTAATAAAAAAATAATGTATAATTAATATTACTAATGCTTGCATTGTTGTATGCGTGGATTTAGCTATCAACTACGCTTTTACGACGGAGACTTTTATTGAAATAAAAAAAAAATAACACTTTTATAGGTAACAGTAGTAGTAATAGAAGGTGTAACCAAACACTGGCATAGAAGGTGTAACCAACAAAGCAAATCAGGGTTAATTAACGTCCTTTTGATTTCAAATGCTGAAACTATCCATCGCTGACAGGAGAAAAAGAGCTTGGTGCTGCCTCTGATATGCATATTTCAGTGGCTCCTTAAATATTAAAATTTTGTAAAATGTAGTTTTTGGCTCTTTCGTCTCATAAAGTTGCCGGCCAATTAATAAATGGGCTACTTTTTTTTAAACTATCTATACAATATTTATTGTCTTACCTTATCGTGTTTTTTCAATATTTTCCTAAATCCCGTGAAATTGAGGTTCTGGTAGTTCTGCAACAGTATCAAGCTAAGATAGAATTCGCTGAAGGCCAACTTCAGCTCCTGCACCTTCCGTCTAGGCAGCTGAGCCTTTTTGTTATCACCACTTCCCTTTGGTTTCATAGTGTCGAAATGTGATTTCAATTCACTCTGTAATGTTGCGAATTTACGAGTAGCTTCTGCTAATTTTTCTATGGACAAAATGTAGAAAAATTGTAAAAACAGTGGCGGTTCTTAGTTTTTGAATAAGGTACGTGCCTCGGGCTTACGGGCGTATTAAAGTTAGAGAACATTCTCAGCCAGGGACTTATGGGCCCACTATCGTGTGGTCACACACACCACAAACAAAATGTATGTTTCATTTACATATAAATTATCGGAAAAATTATTAGCGTTTCGAAAACAGATGAAATATAATAAGCTTTGTCATGTTACCTGCTACAGTCGCATAGTAAACTAACCTGAGTAAAAAGTATTGATTTTCTTGAGTTCCTGATCACAGTAGTGGAAGAAAGTTTCATCGAAGTTCGCAAAGTGTCGCGACAGTACCTCCGGTTCCACATTCTCCGCGGACGGCGCCTCTTCAACAGCTGTGTACAACATTGCTTTCATTTCCTGTGTATTATTAAGGGATATCTTTTTATTAAAGGCTATATAAGCTTTTCAATTCACAATTTATTAATTTTTATTTATTTGTTTCCTTGACTGTTAATTGTCTTGTTTGTTTTATTCTGTGTTGTGTTGTGTTGTCAAAATAAATGCTTTATTATTATGATAACTACGTAATATGATTTAAATATTTCGAATTAATCCATTAAACTTAATTTAAATGCTTCTGCAATAAAATACATCTAGACTGATAAATCTACTATCTCACCAATATGCAAAGGAAAACTACTATAGTTGTATTAATGCATCATATTTCTGATCATAATACTATAAAAAGATACAGTTGGCCTACAGTTTAGATTTTTTCAAATGAAAAGGTTCAATTCTATGCCAATAACAACAATTCCTATGATTATTTAGGTCATTGTCAAACTTGAAAGCGATACTAAAATCATAGAAAAATTGTTAACAAAGAGATATTGGTTCATGACATTGAAAGTGCACTTGGTTCTGATATGCCTATTTAGTGTAGTTTTGGTGTTATTTAATTTGAATCAGTTTATATTTGAAAGTAATATACTTACTCAGAGCTAAAAATGTTATTGTTTAGGTAAAATTGTGAAATCTGATAAAATTCTATTAATAAATCCTTAGATTTGCCTAGTTTTCATAGTAGTATTTGTTATTTTTTCCTGATAATTTGAGTTTGGATGTTAATCCAAACTCAAATTATCAACTGCTCAATGTGTGTTATTTGGTGAGCGAAAATGTTATGCATCTTAATTTCAATCATTTGTATATTACAGGAGGAGGTAAGATAGTATAACTGATACAAACAAGTAATGTCAAGTGTACTTTAATATTGTTATTAAACAGCTTTTTATTTTATTAGCCTAAACTATTAGGTAGTATTAGGGGCACAGAGACGAAATTTGTGGTTTTATGTAGATAGATCCTAAAGGTAGATATTGTAAAAAAAAAGAGTATGAATTTGTGTCATTTGGATGACCAAAGACAATAGAAAATATTGCATATTTTAAAATTATTATAAGTGATATACTTGACAACACTTTTAACTATCATTGTTGCAAGTTTTAACGTAAGCTAATTCAAAACTTAACATATGCATCAATGGGTAGTCCTGTACAGTATTTAGTGAAATTTCCAAAATGATGATGCCAATACTTTAAGAAATATTAAAAAAAGTTTTTCCTGTAAAAATAGCAATTACATTGTTTTTCCTGAAAAGGCTTGATATATTCAATGTTAATATAAATTTTCAAAATAAGCTCTTAAAACATCTAACAAATAATTATGTCTACAGCACCTCAGGTTATACAAATTGATCAAATTTCTCTACTCGATTTAAAACCTTAATGCTTTAAAAGTACCTACATGGGTAGAGTTTAAATTCAAATGGAAAAATTTGATATACTGTGCCTGACATGCAACCGTGTGTACCTACTTTATCAAATTAATTTTACTAAAATAAATACTTATTTATTTTTCAACAATGCAAATAAATCTTAAATGAATTTCATATATCAATCAATGATAAAACATGAGAGAATGTCAATGTAAATGATTTGAAACACACAATATCTTCATTGACTGATATTACAGATATTATTTTTCTTTCCTCTTGATATTCTTTTGTTTGGAGAATTTATTATTTAATTTGTAATTATTTTAATCTTGGCTCTTTTAAAGTAAACAAGTTTAATCCAGTTTTTATTGTAAAGCAAATAGAATGACTTCCTTGGAACAATTAAAATTATAAATAAATTTCTGAACAGCTTATTGCATTTTTCAACAACAATTGAGGATTTTAAATAATTATAAAGACCAAAACCTAATGCATATCAAGGTTGCTATTGAATACAATAACAATTTTATGATTTCTGTATTAAGTGAGTCAATTATCTATGGCTACAAATCTGAGAAACAGGGGTGACTAATAATTACATTCTTTTTAATTGTTACAATAACAGGCAAGTTAAATTAGGTATTAATTTGATGTAAAACATTCTTGTCACAGTTTGTCATACATACAATTAAGATTTCCTTGTCTGATAAATCATGATACAGATCAGAATTCAATATAGTTTCTCTATATTATACTAATTTAGTGAGAAGGTCAAGAGATTCAATAAATGTTACAACATTAGTGTTGGAAAATGTTATGTATTTACCTCATAATTTATGTATTGTTTCCGCCACTCAGGTGTTATGTGTGCACTTAAGTGCTCGGCGAACTTCATCTTGAAGATCTCTAAAAGACGTCTTTATCACAAGAGTCACTAATAAATACTGAATGTCCCTACGGAGTAGAAGCGTAAGTTTGTTTTGTGATAACCACGACGTGATGACCTCATTGAAATAAGAGTAACACTAATATATATTGGAATGATAAAATTTCACTAAAGGGTATATAAATTACACTTAATCTATAGCGTTCTTTTATTTTTCAGTTTATTTTGGCTAAAAAAAACACTTCTTCCTAAAAAATGTTGAAATGACGTTTTGTTATGACGGCTGATTTTGACAGTTTCGTTCCTAAACAAATGTTCCCTATAATATTATCGCAGCTACATACGTTCTTAAATAATATTCATTTCTTTTTTTAATATTTTTTTCCGAGTTTAAGTAAGACTAACATTATGTAATGGTGTTCATGAAATCAAGAAAAAGACCGTATTTACCTGATTGTGGTAAATATGTACGTCGGAAAGTTATCAGTTACAGTATTAGGAAGGTTTTTCCGAAAGTGAATACCTACATAAATATTATACTGATTTACCCATATTATACAACATCACATTTCGCTACAGCCCTCGTATTATGAAATACCTAGTATTTGTCGTATAGTATTCCATAAGTTCTGGTCTGGGTGTTGTTATTGAACTGACCGGGAGTCGAACCCAGGGTTGACCTAGGGCTTCAGAGATGTTGACAACTTGAAACCTACATGCTAGCTACTCAGCTCTGATCTTAAATTAATATTTTGTCTTTATTAGAGATATAGTGCATAGCCCATTCCATTTATGTAGGCATCTAGGTAAATCAAAAGCTAAATTAATATAAATTTTTTTAATCATTTAACATCAATACTCTCTTTATTACTTTCTTTACTATCTTTAAACATTGTTTGATTGATATTTTCAGGTATTACTCTAGCTACTTTTCTTGGTTCCTTGACAAGTGTTTTAGGACATTGCATTTCAGACCAACTTATGGGCACCATGCTAATACCCTGTGGGGATCCTTCAGCTACCGCAATCACAACTCCAAGTTCATTTTCTGCTGTTGATAAGTGGTACCAGTGGATTTCAGTCATTGGTAACTGGTTTAAAACTAAGGAAGTTATTAGTACAAACACAAATCTGTGAATTAGTGTTTCCAGTTTGAGGTATCACTGAGTGGGTTAGGTTAGGTTGCAAGCTTGGAAACAGTGAATCATCTCATGTATATTTAAAATTTACATCAGTCTGAATTTCTTCTCTCAATTCTCTTTGAATTAGGGATGATGTGGATACTGAAGTTGAGACATGTAGTCTCAACTTCAGTATCAATTCAATATCAGTTATGTAATTCTATTTCCAATAAAATATTATTGAATATTATATTTTTGTACTTAAATAAAGATAATAAAACTTAAAGTTGACATCCACATTATGAATATGAGCACTCACAATTCACATCTGCATCCTAAACATACTCTCTTCCAAGGAACATGAAACTAAACATTCATTTGTAGGAAATAAAATTATATTTTCTTTTTATAGTATTTTTGTAAAAGGATACAACTCTTGCTAATATAACATCACCAGGCCTGAAACATTTGTATGGGTCTATCCGATCTTTGTCTGTAGATTTAATGTCTTCTTTTTTTAGAACACCTTTGTATGGTCGGACAAGGATTGAGGAACCAACACAGAGTATCATACACTGAACTAAACGGGAATTAACTACTGTCACTTTTGCAGTTACAATATCTCCTGCTTTAGGAAGAACACTGGGGGTTCTTGGACTTTCCACTGAAATAATTGTAGCCTGCCAAAAAGAAATAGTTATTAGTCAAGTGGAACAATATTTATATCAAATGTGGCAAAAATGAGATGCACAAACAAGATGAGAAATGAGGTTACCTTAGTTTTTTCGTCTTCTTCCATTTTTAATATACCAGCTAGAGTAGCGTAAATATAACCTTTTAACTCATACGTGCCGGGTCCTGATATAAATTCTTTGTTTGACAAACTTAAACGCATGCCAGGTATACAAATTTTCCCAATTTCTTTATCCATTTTTTTATGAAGTTGAAACAGGTTATGTGTACTATTGTTTTAAAACTAGTTATTTGCCAAGATTTTCTATCCTAAAGTAAAGTTCTAAAAGTACTTGGTAATGTTTTTAACACAATTCACCTATAAGTAAATTAATTAACAACAAACCATCAAAACTTTCCTTTCAAATTAAAAATAAACGATACACAGCAAATACACAAGCCATAGGTAATTTGTGATGACACATGACATTATCAATAACATTTTCTTTTTTAATTCGTTTTAAATTCAATATTTTTTATGGTAACACTGAGGCGTGTTCCATTTCAATAGTACTCGTGATTTATTACCACTATTGATGCTGCTAACTTAACATAAAAGTAAGCAGTTTCGAAAGAGTTATTTGGTTACGTTACGTATGTATTCTAAAGAAGGAACAGGTTTTACTTGCTTGGAGACGTGTCACGTCAGCCGGTTGGGTTGACGTTTGACAATTGGATTATACGTTTATATGGTGGTAATTTATGTGAATTTCTGCAAGAATCGCTATTTATTTAGCTAGAAATGCTGACCAAATTTGAAACGAAATCTGCGCGAGTAAAAGGAATATCATTTCACGCTAAGCGACCATGGGTCTTAGCAAGTTTACACAATGGTGTGATTCAGCTATGGGATTACCGTATGTGCACTTTATTGGAGAAATTTGATGAGCACGATGGTCCTGTACGTGGCATTTGTTTCCACATTCAACAGCCTTTATTTGTATCAGGAGGAGACGACTACAAAATCAAGGTATTATGTCAAAACAAGGGATAACATAAGCGTAGCTTTCGCCATATTATCGTCATTTTTTACACGTCTATAGGATATCCGCCTATTAAACTTTACTTTTCGTATTTTTACTTACGAGATAGTTACAGCGCTTCAATTATATAATCAATTGTAACTATTACTTATATTTTAATTGTTCCTCACTAAACAGCTTACTAGCTATGCGTCAAATTGCAATCTATTTGCCGACATGTCTAGTTTTCAGAATATGACGATAAGCGTTTATTTAATAGCAAAAAAGTCTTTACTACAATGATTATTATCATTTCCAACAAATGTACTTAATGAAAAATTGATAAGACACCTTAAGTTTGGAATATTTTCACTATGAGAGAGTTTAAGATTTTTTTATTGTTAGATAATTAGTATTATGGCTATAAATGTCTGCTTGATTAAATTTTAACTTCAACAGTACTGCCATCACATTATGATTCTGTTATTATTGTAGTACAATTTGTAATATCATATATCATATTATCTATTATTATTTTTTCCAATCTTTTATTTAACTTGCCATGTTAATTAATGTGTGCCAAATCTTGTAAGCTAGAAACCCATGAGAGAGGAAAGTTTTTCGATTGAGCTGACTGAAATTTTGCATGCATATATTACTTGGATGACAATGCAATGATATTATGGGAATTTTGTGATTAACTTACACAACTCTGTGTACAAGATTTCTGTTTAAAAATATATAATTTCTGTTTATCAAAAGAAAATTTATATCTCGATTATTTTAAGGTATGGAATTATAAGCAAAGAAGATGCCTCTTCACTTTGTTGGGCCATTTGGATTATATACGCACTACTTTCTTTCACCATGAATACCCTTGGATATTAAGTGCATCTGATGATCAGGTAATTTCATTGATTATTTTTAGTTTTATCAGTTTTGTACAGCAATTAACTATTATATTTCTGTGTCCCATGTGAACAATGACACTACAAGAGTTGTATCAAATTTGCTTTTATTATGCAACTGTATTAGAAAAACTCTACCTTTCTGTCTAATCCATATTTTGGTATGAGATTTTGATTATGAGGCTTATTAAAATGTGTAAAAATAATGTTTCCATATTCAAAACTTTATTGCATAAAATTATTCATGTTTATTTTTATCAATATCAATATTAATACACAAACCCACTATATGCACAGCATCATATCAGGTTATGTTAGGATATTAAATTAATTACTAAGGTTTAAAATTGATTGTTTTTTTTCATATGGGATATCAAGTAGCTAAATCGACATATCGCCTTTCACATAAGATTTTAGCATTATGTTGTAATTTTAGTGTTATGGTGTAATGTAAAGTAATAAAACTTATTTATAATTATTTTACATTACTACTGTACTTGTCTCAACTTTAAAGGCGAATATAAGTAACAGTTTTTAGTAATATTTTCAAGTGAAAATAAGTTGTATTGTAAAATATACCACATGATATCAATCTACAAAAAAAAAAAATTAAATAATGAATTAATTTTTTGTTAAAATTGCTCTCCTGTAATTTTGACATTTTAGAGATGTATCACTTTTCATAGTAGGCACAGAAATACTGTATATGAAGTATTATAAAAAGTAATAAAATATGGTATAAATCATTATAATTTTCAGCAAATGATTTACAACTAAGTTTCAATGTAGTTTCAGTTCAGTTCAATGTCATTTCATATAGTTCAAAATGTAATAGAGTTTGAGTTGATTAATTAATTTGAATTTTCAGACAATAAGAATATGGAACTGGCAGTCTCGTCAGTGCATCAGTGTACTCACTGGCCACAATCATTACGTCATGTGTGCTCAGTTCCATCCAACTGAGGACTTTTTGGTGTCTGCCTCTTTGGATCAGTCAGTTCGTGTGTGGGACTTCTCAGGCCTAAGAAAGAAGAGTGTAGCTCCTGGTCCAGCTGGACTAGCTGAACACCTGAGGAATCCACAAGCTACAGATCTCTTCGGACAGGTATATGTTAGTGGACCTGTTGTAGATTTTGGGGTCTCATTTGCATATGGATATTTGGTGTTCTTCCATTCTATTGTTTTCTTTTTATTTAATTTTTAAGCATGGCACTATTTCATCCATCTTTTTCATGGCTAGCACAGTTCCCATACATGTTTGCCTGTTTTTTAGAGGGATCATACACAATTGAATTTTTATGTAAATTTTGTTTTATGACAATTAGTTGTGATGATCTATTCCACTATTATTAATGAAACTTATTATTTAGATTTAGATTTTTTGTGTACTGTCACTAAAATAAGTTACAATAATGTACAGATAACATATACTTAATATATTTTAGTTGGTCATAGTTGAACATGAATGTGCTATTCTGACATCCACCATTTGGTTAGTGGGGTATGTGGTGTAAAGGCCTGCAAGCCTACTGCATACATTGGCTTTAATTTGGTTGATATTGGATTCAATCAAAAGTATGAGAGAATTTCATTTGACCTGAAGTATTTAGCACACCACTAATAAAATACATGATTGAAAGACAAATGCGTTTTGATTGAAATCAATTAGTGTCTGTAGGATAACAGTAGGGCCTGTCATTATGTGACCAACATTATGCAAACTAAAATAATTATGATGCGAATTTGTATTTGTTAATTAACAGGCTGTTTATCAATCTATATGTGGTAACTTTGTCACTTGAATATTGTGGTATTAATTTACCATAAAATTAACACCCTTCATGGTCAACTTTGAAAACATGGCAAATAATTTGGTTTTTGGCAGGCTGATGCAGTAGTTAAACATGTACTGGAGGGGCACGACCGCGGCGTTAACTGGGCCTCTTTCCACTCAACACTGCCATTAATAGTATCCGCTGCGGACGACAGACAAGTCAAACTATGGAGAATGAATGACGCAAAGGTAGACATTAGTTATACAATGAAATGCAGCTCCATTTTTACATAGCTCTAAATAAAGCCTTATAGAGTTAATTTTATGTCAATTTCAATATTTCAATTTGTTTTGTGCCTTTTATTTGGAATAAAATGTACAATATGCAGATTTATGTACAAAAAACATACAGTGACTCATTTTAAAAAAAATGTATTATTATATCTTTTTATATCTTTATTATGCCGGATATCTTAACGGATGTGTACTGTATAAACTACCACCTTAACTGCACAAAGTTGTGGTGGTTGAGAGGCAGATGTGCCCCCATTAAAATCTATTATATATCAAATCCCTGCAGATTCAAGCTATAGGTAAATATTCAAATATTTAGACCTACATTTATTTAACATTATTTAGAGTCACACAAAGATAACAGTGAATGAAGTTGTTTTTTTGCAGTGTGAGACTATGTATGACTATGTACACCTATATTTAGATCCTTTCATTACATTTATCTTGAAATAATCCGTGTTTCGAAAGGCACGTTAAAATATTAGTGCAGGCTGCATTTGCAGTCGGTAACAAACCCCAATCCGCATTGAGCCAGCATGGATCCGCAACCTCTTTAACCATCCATAAGGAAGGCCTGAGTTCCTCTGCATTTTGGAAGTAAATGGGCTGATGATGATGATGATTTACAGGCGTGGGAAGTGGACACGTGTCGCGGCCATTACAACAACGTCTCTTGCGTATTGTTCCATGCACGACATGAACTCATACTGTCAAACAGCGAGGACAAGTCGATAAGAGTCTGGGACATGACTAAAAGAACTTGCTTGCACACATTCAGAAGGGAACATGAGAGGTGAAATTTATTATATAAACTTACCAAATATTTAATTTGATAAGTTTCGCAATTTATTTTGACTTGATACTGAAAACAGATTAAAAGTCGCACGACAAATTAAATTAGGATTAAACATTCTGCAAACTGTATTTTTGTAATACCTTTAGTAAGATTTCAGTTTTTTAATTATATTTAATTCTTGCATAGAAGACAAACAAATATTCGTCTTTAAGCATTTATTTTATTACTTAGTGCAATGTGATTTTGCATATGTGTTGTTTTATAGGTACTGGGTGTTAGCGTCTCACCCCAGTTTAAATTTGTTTGCTGCGGGCCACGACGCCGGTATGATCTTGTTCAAGTTGCAACGTGAGCGACCAGCCTACGCAGTCCACAACAACATGTTATTCTACATAAAAGACAGGTGATATCAATTGTACCACAAAAAGTAAACATTCAATATACTATAGGTTAAAATTGATTAGATTAATAGATGAGTATAGACTCAATGCGAAAATAGTAGGTGTTCTAGATAATGTTCGGGATGAAATTCTTGTATTTATGATTTTTTGAGCTGCCGAACTGTACAGGTGAAACTAATATGATTATAAGGTTCGTTTTCGTTGTAGGCAATTGCGCAAGTTAGATATGCAGACTAATCGTGACTCACCAGTGATGCAGATAAAAGGAGGTGGACGCCATCAACCGCATAGGTGAGTTCATTTGCTTGACGATTTCTCTAATTCATCTATGAAGTTTTGTATTCGATTCTCAACTAACCAGAAAAACCATAAATTTTGCTTTAAGAACCAAACACAAATCTGCGGATTGGCCCAATGTGAAATACATTATTAAAATAACTTAATGTTTGATTAGTAAGTTGAAATATAATCAGTTTTTAATTTTTTAAATAGAAAAACAGTAGCCATTTTTATGAGACGACATCATTTTCAAAGATGTCTTGTCTATTAACGTATTTGTTGAAAACTATAACTGCCGTCATGACTTCATAGCAACGAGATTCAGTTTTTATCGAAATTTGGATTTTTATTTGATTGAATAAAAATTTCGTTTTTTCCATGATCAATGGATCGTAGATAGAATTGACACTTTTCTAAAATGGATATTACACCCATCACACGACCTTAGCTCGGTCATCCAGAACGTATTGTGTAAACGGGGTAATCATTTTTTAAAGTTTTTAAATTTATATACAATCATTAAGGTTCAAACTTCTTTGACAGTATGTCGTTAAATCATGCGGAATGGTGCGTACTAGTGAATTGGCGTATAGGCGATAATAGCTCTTATGAGCTGTACAGTGCGCCTAAAGACAACGCTGATACATCACCTTCGGAACCGGCCAGAGGACCCGCTACTACTGCAGTGTGGGTGGCAAGAAATAGATTCGCTGCATTAGAAAAGAATAACCAGGTCTGAATAATGTTTCATAATGTATTCTAGTTAAGATAGTCTCACTATAAAAATTAATTCAAGACATGTTCTGTTAGTTCTGAACAGCCTGAACAGCGCCAGTTTCCATTATTAAAGAATCGAATGGAACTAATGGAAACCGGCGAACTGCTTGAAATAAGTATGAACGTTGAGGAGCCAAAAGACGTTATTATAAAAGTGCCTTGTGGCACTCGAAAAAATGGCTCCAGATTTTGATAATGCTTATAATAAAGTCGATCACTAAAATGTTAGATTTTTGATATTTAGACAATATTTTTTATGTTGCATTATAACTATAAGGTAGTAATCCATTCCGAATATATTACAACGTGTTTAAATACAGAAATGTAACTTCGGGCCTACCTCAGGGATCACTTTGGGGTCCTTAAATTTATATTTTTTTAATAATGCCATATAAGCATGTGGTTCCTTCAAATAAAAACTTAAAAGTATTGGAATATAATTTTTATAATAATAAATTTCCTAAATTTATATTCTCAGTTGGTAATTAAGAACTTAAAGAATGAAGTTTCCAAGAAAATTTCAACTCCTACATGCGAGGAAATCATGTACGCGGGAACTGGAATGCTGTTGTTACGCGAGCCTGACTGCGTTCAACTGCTAGATGTGCAACAGAAGAGAACTATTGCTACTGTGAGTCATATTACGTTTAATTTATATTATTGAGAATTAGGCTAGATCGTGAAGAACACAAATAATACATTACACAAAAAAAAAACTCGAGATAGATTTCACTGATATAAACTTATTATATAATACATTTTACAATGTATTTATAATCAGGTTTTTTTTAACACAATTCAATATATATTGCATCAATTACTGTAAAATTTATTATGAACAAGATATTTCTTAAATTAATGTAAGTGTAGGGTTTCCTCAAGGATAATTATTTGGTCCTATACTTTTATAATAATAATAGGTTTTCAAAACAGTTTAATGTTTTATTATTGACGTGTATTGTGAAAACTTTTTTACTTCTTCATGTAAATTTGATGAGTGGTGATTAAAAATATAATTAAATGTGAGTAGTGGGGAACATTAAAGTAAGGAGTGGGGGCTCGCTAAAAACCCAAAGTTATACGATAAAAATGATTATATTTTTAGGTGAAAGTAGCGAAATGCCGTTACGCTATATGGAATTCTGACATGTCCCTGGTGGCTCTACTGGGCAAGCACACGGTGACATTGTGCAGTAAGAAGCTAGAACAATTGTGTAGTATTACTGAAGGGGCTCGCGTTAAGTCTGGCGCGTTCGACGATTCCACGCCCCAACCTGTGTTCATATACACCACTGCCAATCATATCAAGTACTGCTGCAAAGACGGGTAAGGGATATTTATATTATTCAAAAAGCAAAAGTGTATTAAAATGTTGAGATTCTTAGAAGTTGGATTTTAAGTTGTTAAATATTTAGGTTTGTTCAATGTCATTATTTCTATAAATTTCGATGTTTGTTTTATTATTAGGTGTAAAAATAAGCGTTAAAAGTATTTGAAATGTGTATTTCTACCATAGAAAGAATCATATTTTGCTGTAGTTGTAACTATATTTCACTTATTTGTTAACATCTGTATTGACGAAGAATATTGAGGCATTATTATATTTGATTAATTCTGCATTAACAATGCTATATTAATTTAGAATACAATTGAGATTTTTTTTTTAAATTATCTATCTACACACGGATACCGGTGGTAACCCGTAGACATTTTACGGCATGTCCGCCGGTGCCTGGCAGACAAAGGTCGTGATTATCACGTGATCATATATTTATGATACCTAACATGAAATTATGACATGTGTTTTCGATACCGTCGTCCTACATTTTGGAATGCGCAGACTCATCATAATAGGGATCATGACTGAGATAAAAAAAAAACAACTCTATTTAGTCAGTCAACAAAAAATAGCTTAGATAATAGGCAATAAAGTTGAGGAGTGGGGGATCGCTACGTCACAGTTTTATCCTATTAATATTATAAAGGCGAAAGTTTGTAAGTATGGATGTATGGATGTTTGTTACTCTTTCACGAAAAAACTACTGGACGGATTTGGATAAAACTTTACAGCAATATAGGTTATACATCAGAATAACACATAGGGTACTTTTTACTGGGAAAACTTCTCACTCCCACGGGATACCGACTTCCACGCGGACGAAGTCGCGGGCGTCCACTAGTAGAAAATATATACAAAAGCGTGACATCATGTGAAATTTTAACTCGATTTATCGCCATAATGTAATGATTACCCAAAAAATAAGTGTTTAAAATTTTTCAACAATCTACCTGACAGACAAACAAAAAAAATGTTTTTAGCCCTATTATGGTGTTCCCTGTTATTTACACGAGAATGATTCGTCTCGTTCGCCTCTATGGGCTCGTATTGATTTGCTAGTAGCTTAAGTGGTAATTATAAAATGTTATCTTTACTGGTGTAGTGATTACGGCATCATTCGCACGTTGGACGTCCCCGTGTACGCGGTGAAAGTGCTCGCTAATGAGACGGGCGCGCGAGTCGTGTGTCTCGACCGCGAATGTCGACCAAAAGTACTGAACATAGACCCCACAGAGTACAGGTTAGTTTATAATTATTTGTTTTAATTAATTCTCGTACATATATACAGTAATAAAATTATATCCAGTGCAGTTTTGATATTTTGTTAGTTACTTTTTTTACTGAATTTTTAAGTGATTAACACAAAACTAGGAAAATCGGTCAAGTGCGAATCGGTCTCGGGTAAAAAAAGTTCTGTACCGAAAACAGCCAAAACAATCACTTTTGTAGTATTATATAGAGATCACTTTTGTTGTAGTATTGTATTATATAGATTTTGTTATATATTTATATTATTTTGTTTTTTAGTATTTGTTGTTGTAGCGGCGACAGAAATACATCATCTGTGACAATTTCAACTGTCTTACTGACAGACAACAAAGTTTTTGTAATAAGGTTCCCGTTTTACCCTTTGGGTATGGAACCCTAAAAAGAAATTTATTTAAAGGCTTATGTTATCCTTACTCTAGCTGGTGGTTAATGACCGACTTTAATATATAAAATAGAATATTAATATAAAATACATTAACAATTGCAAATTAATATAATTATTAATTAAAAAAAAAAAAAATTGCAATAATAGTTGGCGTTTTATTCAAACTGATGAAACGCACTTAGAAAAGTAATGGAATCTTGTTAAATCTCTTAATTAGTACAAAAAGAAACAACTACCACTACTTTTAGGTATTATAGAGCGTATTTCGGATTAAAATTTAATGTGTTTAATAATTGGATTCTTCACTTGTATATTTTCATCACGTAAATGTGAAAGTAAATAAAAAGGCGCCTAAGGCTGTTTAAATTAAGTATTAAATATCTATAATATTGTATAGGTTCAAGCTCGCGCTATTGACTCGTCAGTACGACCAAGTTTTACACATGGTGAGGACGGCGAAACTAGTCGGACAGAGTATCATCGCTTACTTGCAAGATAAAGGTGAGTCTAAAGGATTACATACCTACTGAAGTTGCTCCGTAGTACAGCATTCAAATTTAAACTTTGTGTCCTTTTATTAACAGTAGAATTATCAATAAGAAATCTATTTTTGTTTTAATAATTGAAATTTTACACTGTGTCAATAATTGCAAAAATGACTTATATAATTTTTTGTAAACACTAGTTCTACTTTTGACTATATATTTTACAATTTGATTAATTCTTTATAAAATATTTAAAGAATCCACCAGCTACATACCTTAATACCTTGAGATAGAACTCTAACCACAACCGTTCACAATGCGAGCGGCTGCAGTGACGAATTTATCAAGCATTTGTTACTTTTACAAATATAAAAAAATATATGGTTTGTATTTTATCACCGTCATATCTTTCTTCAGTGTTTTAACTTAAGAACAATAGGGGTGTAGACAACATTTTATTATATTATTATTTTATAGATATACATGATATATAAAAAAGTATCATTCATATAATAAGCTAAAATCTAAAAATGAATTTCCCGCGATAACGCCAACTTCTGTCATGGCATCGCCATGACGTCACGCCCCTCTAAACTGACACACTGACATGACTAAGAGGGGCGTGACATCACGCGCTGTTTGCGGTCACGTGACAACAAGTATAAAATATTTGTTTTTTCATAATCAATTCAAGCAATAACATCGGTAATAGTATATTAAACACCACCAGAAAAAAGAATGTATTTTCGTTTACTGTCTACACCCGCTTTTATAATTGTAATTCCCAAGTTACAGCACCTAATATCAAGCACAAATTTGTATAACTATATAAACCGTATAACCGTGTCAGGTTACCCGGAGGTGGCCCTCCACTTCGTGAAGGACCCCCGCAGCCGGCTGTCGCTGGCGCTGCAGTGCGGCAACATCGAGGTGGCGCTGGAGGCGGCCAAGAGCCTGGACGAGGCCCACGCGTGGGACAAGCTCGCGCACGCCGCGCTGCAGGCCGGCAACCATCAGGTACCTTCACTGTTGTTGCAGGGACAAAATATCGACTACTAATAACGCCGTTAATAGACTAGTTTTTTAGTGAAAGATAATGAACGAAATTGCAAAAATACTAAAATTTACATCGAAAAAAACATAGACATACTGATTTTCAATTTTGTAATCGCACGATTGTCTTGATTATCTTAGCATAGTCACGTGACTTGAAACACGACCCGCCATTTTGTGACGTCATCCGTGCGGCAGCTGTCAGATTAGTCATAAAGATATGTCTATTAATGATTAATTGAATTCTCCTAATTGGTGCTGTCTTAGCTTATTTATATATTTTTATTTCGAAGCTGACCGTTAAACGGCACTGTTCTTCTATTGACATATTTTAATCTTCAACTCATTGCATCTCTATTCTGTACATATCAAAATATGTCGGAAAGCGTTTCTGTGGGTAAAAAGTAAATTTTTTTATTAAATTTTAAGACAAGAAAACGTGTGTAATTTTGGTCGAAACTTATTGTTATACATTATAAAGTATTAAGTCTGTGGTACAAATGTATAAATAATTGGCTACTTGACTGTTTTGGGAAAAAAATATCGAAACTTCGAAACAATCATATCCAACCATTATCAAATTTATTTGTTTCCAAAAAGTGTTATTAAATAAAATAATCAGTGACGAGACATTTCGAGCAGTGACGTCACATTTTAATAATAGTTTATTGTTACAACTGTCAAGTAGCCAATTCTTATAAACATTACCTACTGTGAGGGTTCTTGATAATAAGACGCCAGCTCGATGCTTTCAGATATTTATTCTCTATACAATATGTTATAACCCAACCACCATGATATCCGGCTCGTCCCAGAGTATACACTACCTCTGTCACAGACTACATATATCAGAGCGCACAGAGCTACCTCTTACATCCCTTTTCTTTTCTTAATTAATCAACATAATTATCATGCAAGTAATTAGGTTTTCTTACAGGTCTACCACATCTAGTTTTACGAATTTCACTATCCAAATTATCTAAATTGAAAGTTACAGTTTTCTTAGGTTTACTACTGCATTTAACTTTTTCATTATTAGCACTTCCAATACAATCATTTTCTATATTAGAGTTTTCAAACTCTGTACAATCTATAAAATTATCAGTTTCATCACAATTAACATACTCAAAATTAATGTAATTATTCTCATTAGTATTATTACTTGATATGTCGCTATCATTATTACAGTCGACATTTACATTATAATTATCATTATTACAATTAACATTTTCATTAATTATATTCCTGTTTACATTCATATTTTTCTCCAATATACATTCTAAATCCTCATCATCATAATCATATGTATTTTTAGACCTAAACTTCTTATACTTTGATCCTCTAAATATATTGTATCTATTTCTTATTACTTTCTGACCAATCTCTAATTTCTCATTTTTACTTTGCACATACTTTTGTATTTTCCTATATTTATGTTCATTATAATTTCTATTTATTGGTAAAAAAGAAGACACTTGTCTACCTATCATTAACTCATTAGGTGACTTTAATGTATTATCTATTGGTGTGTTTCTGTATTCTAATATAGCCAAATTAATATCTTTACCATCTTTTAAACATTTTTTTAACATTTTTTTAACATTCTTTTAATTGTTTGTATGTGACGTTCCACCATACCGTTTGATCTGGCATAATAAGGTGTGGAAGTCTTGTGTTTAAAATCATATTGTTCACAAAAGTCTCTAAATACAAAACTTCTATACTGAGAACCATCATCAGTATACAATAAATCAGGTATCCCCCATCTAGCAAAAGTTATCTAAAGAATTCTTATATGTTCCTCAGCTGATTGGTTTTTTAATTCATATAATTCTATATATTTTGTTAGATAATCCACTATTAACAAAAAGATTTTATTATTAAAGAAAAACATATCAGCACCTATTGTGCTCCATGGTTTACAAGGTACTTCTCTTAACTTAAGAGGTTCATAGTTATGACTTTTTTGTTGCTCTAAACAAATATTACAATTTTTAATCATGTCCTCTATTTCTTTATTCATATGTGGCCAATATAATAAACCTTTGATTCTATTTTTACATTTTTCATAACCCATGTGATTATAGTGAATTTGTTTCAACATATCTGAACGTAGAGATTTAGGTACTAGTACAGCAGAATCCTTAAATATTAAACCATTAGCTACAGATAGACTTTCCTTAATAGAATGATAAAATTTTAACTGGAATGGAATTTCAGAATATTTAGGCCAATCATTTTGAATATAGTTCATTAACAATACAAAATTTTCATCTTTAGATGTTTCTTCCTGAAATAATTTTAATTTTTGTTCTCTTATACTTAAATTTTCTATTATCATACATACATGTATTTCAATTTTCTCATCAATATCCCGATTACAAATATTATCTTGTACATAAGATCTAGACAATGCATCTGCTACTAAAAGTTCTTTACCTGGTCTATATTTAATATTTAAATCATAACCCTGTATACGCATTCTTAACTTTTGTAATCTTAACGGAGTTTCATTCATAGATTTTTTAAATATTTGCTCTAATGGTTTGTGATCCGTTTCTACATTAATTTGTTTGCCATATATGTACTGATGGAATTTCTCACAAGCATAGACAATTGCCAATAGTTCCTTCTCAATCTGAGCCCATGATTTTTGTGACTCAGTTAATGCTTTGGAAGCATAAGCTACTGGTGCATCTTGTTGCAGTAATACTGCTCCCAAACCTGTGCTACTACTATCTACTGACAAAGTTATAGGGCTATTTATTTCAAAAAATTTAAGAACTGGTTCTGTAATTAGAATTTGTTTTAATTTATTAAAATCATGTTGTTGTTTCTCTCCCCAAATGAATACAGAATCTTTTTTCACTAATTCCCTTAATGAGTTTGTAATATCTGATAAATTAGGTATAAATTTAGATACATAGGTTAAAATCCCCAAAAAAGTTTGCAATTCTTTTTTATTAGTTGGTTCCTTCATATTAACTATTGCTCTTATTTTCTCTGGGTCAGGTCGTACACCTGTACTACTCAAGATGTGACCTACATATTTGACCTCTGTAACACCAAACTGACATTTATTTATATTAAATTTCACACCTGCTTCTTGAGCTCTATTTAAAACTTGTCTTAATTTATGGTCATGTGAATCCTGTGATGAGCCCCATACTAGTAATTCATCTACATACTGTTCTACCCCTTCTATGTTACTAAATATATCATGAAAACATTTACTAAAAACTTCAGGAGCTGAGTTCAAACCAAAGGGTAACTTTTTATAACAATATCTACCAAACTCACCAGCATTGAATGTAGTATATAATTCACTCTTTTTTGATAATTTAATCATATAAAAACTTTTAGATGCATCAAGAACTGAAAAATACTTAGCATTAGGCATTCTAGCAACTAATTCTTCAAAAGTACTCATTTTAAATCTTTCTCTTATAATACATTTATTTAGATTCTGTGGATCCAAACATAATCTGATAGTACCATCACTTTTTTTTGTCACAACCATGGAATTAACCCATTCAGTAGGTTCATTAACCTTTCTAATGACACCTAAACTTTCTAGTTTATCTAATTCACATTTTATTTGTTCTTCTAATTTAAAAGGAATTTTCCTAGGTTTCTCTACTATAGGCACACAATTTTCTTTCAATTTAATCTCATATTCATAATTAATTTTACCTAAACCCGAAAACAAGTGATCATATTGAGTTACAATGTCATTTTTGTTTACTGTGCATATATTATTTATAATACCTAGCTTTACTGTAGTAGAGTAACTTAATATACAAGGTGTATCAAAATCTACTATAAAGAATTTACACATAAAATTATTATCTTTATATCTAATATTTGCATCACAAGCTCCTGTAATTTTAATATCAGAACCATCAAAATTTGTCAATCTTATATTTTTAGAATTATATAATTTTAGTTTCAATTGTTTCATGGTATTTTTATTTAATATATCTACATGAGAACCTGTATCAATCTTAAATTTTATGTCCTTGTTGTTTAATTTCAAATTTATATACCATTCTTTATTTACTGAATTTACTTTATACACTGTATCAATTTTACATTGTTGTATTTCTCGTTTGTTTACTACTGAACACCTATATGTACAACATGCTGCAAAGTGATTAAATTTATTACACTTCATACATTGTTTACCATAAGCCGGACACTGTGCATACGCATGAGACTTGTTGCATTTTCTACACGGTCTTGATGTACTCATATCACGTCTAAAGTTCTCACCCGGTTTCTCCTTTGCAGATCTGTGTTGATTGCTAAGCTGTTTGCTACTGCTTGACTGCCACTTAGTCCCTGCTGTTTTAGCTCGACTAGAAGTTCTACTGCGACCCCTGGCTGTCATCTCTCGGCTCGGTGTTCGCGTACGATGATCCCTATTAACTGCTCCGATTTCACTTGAACTATGACTATTATTTAGATTCTTCAGTTGACTTTGTGCTACCTGCGCCGCTTTACATAACGTTACACATTTATTCAAAGTTAAATCTGGTATTCTCAGCAGTTTTTCTCTTATATTGTCATCATTTATTCCTAGTATAATTTGATCTTTAATTAGACTGTCTTTCAATGTTTGAAAATTACAATCCAAGCTTAGGTGTTTTAAACAAGTAAGATACTCTTCAATTTCCTCATTACATTTTTGTTTTCTCGAAAAAAATAGGTAACGGTTATAAGTTTCGTTGGAAGGTGGACTACAATGTGTTTCTAATCTCAAAAGTACCTCCCTATAATTTATTTCATTTTTATCTTCGAAGCTATTATATATTTGCAAGCCTTCATCTCCTATGCAATGTAATAAAAGTGCCTTTTTCTGTTCGTCGGTCAAGCGTTGATCTGCTCCACTTGCCAAAAAGTACAAGTCAAACTTCTGCTTCCAATTTTGAAAGCTTCTCTGTTTGTTACAATTTTCAAGCGATAATGGCGGAGGAGGTTGTAATAATTCCATCTTCTATATCGTAGTATTTTATTTATCGTACCTTTATTTATAATGCAGTCCGTAGGTCCGCAGCGCCATGTGAGGGTTCTTGATAATAAGACGCCAGCTCGATGCTTTCAGATATTTATTCTCTATACAATATGTTATAACCCAACCACCATGATATCCGGCTCGTCCCAGAGTATACACTACCTCTGTCACAGACTACATATATCAGAGCGCACAGAGCTACCTCTTACACCTACGCAATAAAGTTCAAAATGCATAATTTTATCTCTTTCTATGAGATTTTGTCACTGAAACTTTCGATACAATATGTGGATTAATTCAGCAATTATAAAATGTATTTATTTTCTTTTAGATCGTCGAAATGTGCTACCAGCGTACAAAGAACTTCGACAAGTTGTCCTTCCTATATCTAATAACTGGCAACTTGGAGAAGTTAAGTAAGATGATGAAGATAGCGGAGATCAGAAAAGATGTATCCGCTCAATTCCAAGGTGCTATACTGCTAGGTGACTGTATGGAGAGGATACGGCTTCTCAAGAACGCTGGACAGGTAATTATTTTGAACGAGATGACACCGGAAAAATTATATTTTGCATGCAATAAAATTTTACGTTTCATATATGTCAACAGTTAAATACATATATTTAAGTAAATGTCAATTTGAGGTTTATAAGGAAAAAATGGAATATGACAGAATTAAAAAATTTTACCTTGAATATATTTTTTTCGAAAACCTAGTTTGTATATAAATAGTGAAATAGACCACTGCGGTACATCCATAGTTTCTGGCACCAGAAAAGAAAACGTAAAACATGCATAAAGAAGTTATAGGCAAACAATCATATTCAAATTAACGACATAGGTACTTAAGATTTGAGTAAAATCCATGTATTATTATAATTGTCCAGATTTCTCTCGCTTATTTAACGGCGGTCAACAACAAGCAAACTGCCGAAGCTGAGAATCTGAAGACTGCCTTATTAGCAGCAGGCTTACCTGTGCCGGAAGCGAATCCCACCGCGGAGGTGATTTGTCCACCGGTACCTGTTGTACGGGCACAAACCAACTGGCCTTTACTGGCCGTCTCCAAGTAAGTCATACAATAGGTCAAGCAAGTCATAGTACAGCTAACAAAATATGTCCAGTAAGTCACAGTACACAAAATAGGTCAAGTATGTCATACATAACACAACTAATTCAATAGGTCAATTAAGTCATACATAAGACAGCAAACACAATAGCTCAAGTAAGTCATAATACAGCTATCACAATAGGCCAAGTAAGTCATAGCATAGCTAACTCAATAAGTCAAGTAAGTCACAGTACAGCTAATACAATGAGAAAGTATTTAAAAAAAAATTAGCTCCTGAAATCTAACTAGATGACACCACGGTACGTTCCTGATTTCTCCATGACAACCTTTCCGGTTTTCTTTCATGTTTAAAAGTAAATTAGTTTTCAAAACTTAATAAACAACTCATATTCTATTTGTACTTTTTCGTATTTGTATTGATATTTAAGTTTCGAACTATTCAAATTCAGTTTTTTAATATGTTAGTTAATAGGAACGGAAATTACTGTCTTTGGTCCATTCGTTTCCTGTAAAAATCAACTTTAGCTAGTCGTCATCTAGTGGAGGTGCTTTTTTTAATGCTTTCGTTTTTTTTTAATACTTCCTCATTGGTCAAGGAAGTCACAGTAAAGCTAACAAAATAGGTCAAGTATGTCATACATAACACAACTAATTCAATAGGTCAATTAACTCACAGTACAGCCAACACAAAAGGCCAAGGAGACTTCCTTACAGTTAATATAATTTTTAATAAAAAATAGAGTTCAAAATTTCCTCTTTCTTAGGGTGGATGTTTTTTTGCAATGTGTATTTGTAAAATCTTGTGAATTGCAACCAGGAGTTTCTTCGAAGTAGCGAGTAATGTGAGAGGGGCGGGGGAATCGGATGCAGCTGTTGCAGCTGTTGGGGACGAACCGTTGGAAGCGGGAGGAGCGTGGGGAGACGACGAAGATGTCTTACAAGAAAAGGTAACTTACTGTTTTATTATCTGTTTATAAGGGATGCTGCGGAAGCTGATATTGATGCGGACATGAATGGGGAACGTTCGAAACGTACCGATTAGAAAAAAAAAAACTTATTTTTGCACCCAAATTAAAAGTTTTATATACATATACACATACGTGTATTTGAGCATTGGATCTTTAATTACGTAATCTTTTTGCTTTTAAGTTATATTCGTATATTCTGTCTATATTTTAAATCAATAAAACTATTCCCAGGAGGACGGCGAACCCGAAGAGCCAATGGAAGACGCTTGCGATGATGGTGGATGGGATGTAGATGATGAAGGTTTGGAGTTGCCAGAGGAATTGGCGCCTGTTTCTGGTAAGTAAAAAGTAGTATTTGTTTTTTTCACTTCTAGTGAGCGTGTTTATATTGTTTAGATATTATTCTAACAAAAAATAGAACCTTTGACTAAGATTACAATGTGAAAGCAGCTTTCTTAAAATACTAAAATAATCTAGCCGCGAAAATTCGAAACTATATATATATTTAATAATATACAGGGTTATTTATAAAATATCAGTAACCATGTAAGAATAGGTGGCTAACATCATAATGACTTAACTTTTGTATGAGCTTTTATGATTCTTTCATGCGAAATTATTTTTTTATTTAATTTATTGCCCAAATTTTAATTACTTCTCGCATTATGTCGGCGCCGGAGCGTAACGACGTTTTTTCGTTTTTGAATAAATCATAGTATACCTATATATTCTAAGTCCTAATAAATTAGATATTGATATTTTTGCAGCTACTTGGCTTTTAGAGTATATTTAAGTATAAAACATTATAGGTTTTTTGATATTTTTTCGAATAAGAGTAGGAAACCACTTTGCTACATAAAAACATCCTTCTAATGAGATAATTAAATTAAACTCTTTCTCATTTTACCACCACATAACTGGCGATTACACTTTAATGAATCGACTATTTTAATGTCATTGTCATGCTATTTCTATGATGACGCCAATTAAGACAGACATCATTAAAATACATAAAAGGCTTAACAGTTACCATCTCTTAATCTTCTCCATATTGGTAATTAATTTGCCACAATATATTTCACGATAACATATAAACTCAAGTCTTACAAGACTGTTGGTGTTTTAAATAACCGTGTATATATTTAATTAAAAATGCATAAAAAATACACTAGCGCCAGGTACCTCGAGTATTTTTCATTAAATATTCTTATCAATATAGAATTATAAATGCAAAATTGATCGAATATTAATTGACCAAATATATTAAACTGTGTATAACATGTAACTAGCTGACATCGACGGTGGTGAAGAATCGGCCCAGTACTTCGTGGCACCCACTCGCGGTACAAGCGTCGCACTGTTGGGTAAACTGCGTACCGCACACGATCATGTTGCCACTGGACAGTTCGAGATAGCTTTTAGGTGAGTTTATTTTTTATTGGCTTTCTAATCATTGAGAATGTTGAATAAGTCAGTGAAATTATATGGAAAAATGTGTTATAAATATGGTCCTTCGAGTCGGATTTATAGATGAAAATACAACTATACTTGATTACAAAGAAAAATATGGATTTTTATTAACACAACTATTCAATGAAGAAGATAAAATAACATTTAGCCATGTGATGTTTTTGTATTTTATTTTAACATGTGTAATGTATTCGATTAAGAAATATTAAATACTTTACAAAAAAGATAATAAAAATACAATGAACACTCAAGTCTCAATAAATATACAAAATATTTTGTTTTAGTGCTAGTAAATTGAGTGGCTCAGCTACATAGAAAATATGAAGTTTAATAATATTATGATGGCAGTGAGGTATTGAAACTACGTTATACGAAATACTATGTTAAAATTAAAATAATCTTCATTAAATATTATTCAAAAAAGGTATTTACAGTACTATTACAATAATCAATCAATGGCAACCATGCATTTTGTTATATCAGGTTGTTGAACGAGCAAGTGGGTATAGTGAACTTTGAGCCATACTTGGAGACATTCCTGGGCATGTACGCAGCAGCCAGATTGACCTTCGGAGCTTTGCCCTCCGTGCCTCCACTGGTAGCTCACTTACATCGTAACTGGAAGGAAGCTAGCGGAAAAGATCTACTGCCTATCATCAGTGAGTTCATATATCTAATGTGTAATAAAGAGCTGATTATGTGTGAATTTTTGTTGATTGAGATTTTAACCGATGATCTTTTTCGAACTGGAAGACTGATCTACAAACTAAGCAGCAGAGACTTAACAGGATTAGAATTGCTGATTTTTAATTTGGTGCTTTGTGATGACACGAGGTTAAGGAAGGTGTAGGTGATGGTTACATAAGTTCTTATTTATTATTTCTGATTTCTTATTTAGGACGCATGTACCAATGATTATTTCATTTTTTATTCTATGGTAATATATTATTTAAAATGATTTTGTTTACTTACTACTCAAGGGATATTGTGAATGCCAATGTGGATGCAAAATATACGAAAGGTATCAATTTGCTATAGATATTATTTCTTATTTTGCTTTGACACCTAGATCTAGTTTAATCTGTATCTGCATCTATGAGCCCTCATAATTCCATATCCGTATTTGCATCAATATCCGCATCTCAAATATCATTGACTCACTTTTAGAAACATCAGCAACAACATATAGTGATTAAAATTGTTATTGCATCTTCCAGCTGTAAAACTCAACGATCTTGTCAGCCAACTTCAACAATGTTACCAGCTGACTACAGCTGGCAAGTTCACTGAAGCTGTCGAGCGTTTGCAGCGTATAGCTCAGAGCATACCTCTCCTGCACGTGGACACCAAGCCTGAACTGACTGAAGCCACGCAGCTGCTGCAGATATGCAGGGAATACTTGCTCGGATTACAGATGGAGACCGCTAGGAAAGGTCAGTGTGATACTTGTTCAATTCAATACTTCTATGATTTAAATGTTTTTCACCAAATAGAAAACAAAGTCACAGTACATTTTAGACAATAAGCCAGTCAGTTAAATTATCAAAAGAACAAGCATTGTTATTTATGATGTTAGCTGTCCTATAAGGTTGCCAGCATTTTAAAAATAACCCTGTATATGAGCTTAGAAAGTCGAAATGAAAAATTTATAGGTATTAGAAATAAAAAACCTGTCTTTTAGAACCAAATAAAGTAATAATCAGGAGTTCGCTGACTCGCTTGGCGCGCTCGGGTTGCGATACGGTTGTTAAAAGCAACTTTCGCAATGGCTGGTCATAGGATGGGTGACCAAAATGTATTATCTCAAGCTTCTCTGGGCTTTGGAAGGCACGTTAGCCGTTAGTCCTAGCTGCATTTGCGGTCGTTAATACTCACCAATCCGCACTGGGCCCGCGTGGTGGGCGGGCCCCAGCAGTGAGGACATTAATAGGTTTTTAATGTGAATATGGTAATATACATATAATACTGTTAATGAAAATTGAAGGCAAATGAGTACCAAGTATAGTTGCAAAGCCAGGCATTATTCGAACTCGAAAATAATCAGAGATATCGCCTAATTTACAGACGAATAAATAAATACCCTATCACATTTCAGCGATGCCGAAAAACACACTAGAAGAACAGAAGCGCACGTGCGAAATGGCCGCGTACTTCACACACTGTAAACTACAGCCGGTCCACCAAATCCTGACCCTCAGAACAGCCCTCAACATGTTCTTTAAACTGAAGAATTTCAGGACGGCCGCATCCTTCGCCCGTCGTCTTCTAGAACTGGGTCCTCGTCCGGAAGTAGCTCAGCAAGCGAGGAAGATATTACAAGCGTGCGAGAAAACTCCGACGGACGAACACCAACTATATTACGACGAGCACAATCCATTCAATATTTGCGGTATATCATACAAACCTATATATAGAGGGAAACCGGAGGAAAAGTGCTCCCTTTGTTCTGCGTGCTTCCTACCTGAACACAAAGGTAAACTGTGCCCAGTTTGCGGAGTCGCAGAAATCGGCAAAGACGTCCTAGGCCTCAGAATTTGCCCGTTACAATTCCAGAGATAAATTCCTGATTATATGTACTTTTAATTATATTGTAAGTTTATTATAGAATAAATAATATTGTATCGAGTTTCATTAATTGTTTTTGTTTGAACGAAAGATGTGTGTAAAAATGTTTCGTAGGATATTATTATAATTATTCGATATTTTTATATATAAAAGTATAAATATGTTAATGAATAAGAAAAAATGCTGATCGATTCGTTTGAATAGTTTTGAAATTCAATAAAGTGCCAGGAGTATCCAGTTTTAGTTTGATTATTAATTATAATGATGTTAATTAAATACGATAGTTGTTTATAAAGTTTTTATTTATATTAGTTACTATAATGAAATATTGGAAACATAAATTAGTGAATGAATTATCTTATTGTATTAAAATTAATTTAAACATCCACTGGCTTCACCTCTTCTTTTCCAGATCTGTAAATTCAATATTCAACAATTGTATTATTTTAGTAAATCACATTAGCCCACGCTTTAGTAATAATACATCGACAGTCTAGAACAATTGAATGGTATCGCTCAGTCAATAGAGTTGGAAGTTGGTGTAACGTGGCTTTAAAACTGACGAATTGATTAATATTTGATTTTAAACCTTAATGAGTTGATCTAAAGTTCGAATCATTTCTAACTTCCTATGATAACTCGATACACTGCTGTGTTTCTATAACCGATTAGATTTCTTGCGATCGACTGCTTGAGTTTCATTTTTACAGTGAGTAGATTTCACATCTCAAGAAAGTGTTAAATGAACAACTTTGATGGTACATAATAAGTTCATGTTTAGAACAATATTACCTTTTGTTTAACATATCTTGTATCTCGTCGAAAGTTTTTCCTTTAGTTTCGGGCAATAGCGTGGCTGAGAAAATGAACCCGAATCCGCAGCATACAGCCAGGATCCAGAACGCGGTGTAGATGCCGTACGAAGCCGCCACGTCACGGAAGAACCTGTTAGTATATGATAGCGTTGACTAATAATATGATATTTATCTTGTACTAAAAAATACTTGATAAATTTTCCAGGCCCAGGTGTTTGCTCGAACTATTCAACTATCCGTGACGTCATGCGGCATTTCAACTCGATGTATCGCCGTTACTTAAAAAACGTAACGAAAAAAAAAACACGTGTTTTGTATTCTTCAATGACGACCTCTGTAGCCGCACACCGGTTCTAGGTGTCGCCATTTCTGAAATCCCGGGTTCGATTCCCGGTCGGGTCAATGTAGAAAATGAACTTTTCTATATTATCTCGGGTCTGGGTGTTGTGGTACCTTCGTTTGCTCAGATACTCCATAATAAGGGGGCTTTAGCTACTCGTCTTGGAATCTGAGCAATGTACGTGATGTTGTTTAATATTTAATACTTAATTCAATAATCTACCTGACGGACAGACATCATCCCTATTATAGTATCTGTGATTTTTTATTTACGTTTTGGATGTAACAAAACCCTTAAAATTTTTACCTGGTCCACACGAAGCCAGCCAGCCAGCACATGAAGGAAGCTATGCCGCTGGCTAGACATTTAGTCTTCACAGGAAACATCTCTGCTACCAGGATCCATGGTACGGGCCCCACGCCTTTGAGAAGGGTATTTACATTGCATCAAAAATCAGTACATCTATCGCTATGGTAATATCATAATAAGATATGTTACGTTCAAAGATTGAAATCGCTCATTGAGCGAAAAACTAGTTCACAACGATGTGGCATTGAAGAAACGCCACTACGCGTTCTGAGCATTAATTGGTTTAACTATCTGATTTATATTCTTAATGTTCTCGAACCCATGACCTTTAACAATTCTAATGCCATCTCCAAAGTGCCAGGGGACAAAGTGGGTTTTTTAAGTATTTTTCATTAAGGATATTTTACAGTATAGCATCGTGAATGCAAAAGTGATCAAATACAATAACTATCTCATTTTACAAAAGCGATTCGCTTCTGGCACTTCGCCGTCCGCTGCCGCGGCACGCTTGCTTTGCTCGCTCGGGTCGTGCGTTTTTTGTTATACTCTAACCTAACCTAATCAAATATGGTTCTATACGGTTAATGGTTTTTCTTCATTGCCACAACGCGTTGTGGTCGAATAGCATGGGAGGCACGACACAGATATCGCTAAGCGGTTATTCTGTGAATGCCACAACGTCATGTTGTGAGCGTTTCCATAAGAGCCATAATACATATTTCGCTATGTGGATATTTTACTGTAACCACAACGCGTTTTGAACTAAATTTCCGCCTAATGAGCGATTTAGATCTTTGAGTGTTGCATATATATATATTTTATTTTTAATATAAAAATCTTAAAAATCCACCCTGGGGCTGGTGGATTTTACCTCAAGATGGGACTGAATGCAAAATTTATAACGTGATGCTTGTGAGGATTTCGTTATTGTTTTACCGAGTACGATGGTAACTATCATTTAACCTGTTACTTGCTATCTCATCATCGTCACCAGCCCATTAATTTCCCCACGACTGGAGCTCGGGCCTTCTTAATGGGTGGAATCAAATCAAATGGGCCATGACTTGCCACGCGGCTCCAGTGCAGATTGGTGGGTGTTACTGCAAATGCAGCCGGGACCAACGGCTTAACGTGCCTTCCGATACAAGGAAAAGTTCGAGATAATAAATTTTTGGTCACCCATCCTATGACCGGCCCTTGCTAAAGTTGCTTAACAACTGTACTGCGGACCGAGCGCGCTAACCACTAAGCCATCTAGCACCTCATCCTTGCTATATCTACTATCTGAAATTTAGTCAATGCTGTAATGGTTTCGCTAGGTGATGACTTGCTTGATACTAACCCAAAGTGAAGAGTATCATGTAGACAACCAGACACAGTAACGGTATGAACGCCACGTGCGACACATCCACCTTGAAATGTGAGTCCAATACCGCATACACTCCTATTAAACCCTGTAGTATTTTAATACACTGTTTTAAAAGTTATCAGATAGATATATCAGTTAAAGGTAAAAGTTTTTAACCTTTCGCAAAGTGTAAAGACGTAGTGTTCTCTTTGGAGTAAAGTAGGTATATCCTTTCAGTCATTATGTATGTATTGCATGCTTCGATCAACAATAGGTACAACATCGTTGATCGAATACTGTACGGGTACTGCTGAGTTTTATGGTCGAGTTCTACAAGAGTAATGTCGTAGAGTAAATTGTATTATAAATGATTATAAAGAAGTACTTAAATTTTCTATGCAATTTTCAATACGTATTTTATTACATTTCAAATTTGCTAGGCAGTTATAGACTTTATTGCGATAATCATACGCAATAGGTACCATTTGACAAACTTATATCTTGCCATGAACCACTCATTTGGATAACTAAATGTATATAAATAAAGTATACTTATTTTAGGTTTTATCTATAAATAAAACTTACAATCAACGGACCTCTTGGAATGCTAAAAGTGACCACCAGTGGTTTGCGAATCACAGGCCAACCATTGAACAATTTCATATCTGCATAGAATCCGAATCTCATGCGAGAAAAGAGGATCGAGCATCACAAAACATTTTAAATTAACTAGCTTTCCGACAGCGGCTTCGCCCGCGTGGTCTTAAGTTATACATAAAAACCTTTCTTTTGAATCACCCTATCTATGAAAAAAAACCGCATCATAATCCGTTGCGAGGGACAGAGAAAGCTACTTTGTTTTATACTATGTAGTGATTTCTCTTCATATGTATATGTTTTGTGGCTTTCGCTGGAATTTAATATTTTTATCACTATACTGTCTTTTTCTTAGTTGGTAACTTGTATCTTTCTTAGTCGCAAAAAATACAATATTAGAACTGAACAGAAAAATTAAGTAAAAATATTTTGTCATATTTGAGTTTTACCAGGAAAATGGTAAGTCCAAGCGACGTAGTCCACATTAAAAGTTTTCTTCCGAGCCGGTCTACCACCAGCGGTGTGATGCAGCTGGTGACCACTTGCACCACGCCCATGATGATGGTGCCGTGCGCCGCCGATATGGTGGAGCCGACCTTAGCCAACAACTCCTCCATGTAGAACAGGAGCACGTCTATGCCAGACAACTGGAGTAACATCGCGAGGAACACGCAGATACCTGCAAAAAGACTGGTATTAGGTTTTAGAAATAAATTAGCATAGTTATAGTTTGCTTCTTTTTCACAACAATTAAACGCTCAGCGCGTATTTATAAGGGCCAATTATGTGTGTGTTATGTAATTACGTGTGTGATGTTGCTTCCCGTGGGTATGCGTTAGTATCCTTATAGTCTGTGCCGTAGCGATTTTGTAAAAATCCGAACCCAAATTCGGATTAACTTATGTAGCTGAATTCACTTTATTAAGTTTAAAAATCCTATTGATTTCGTTTTGTATAAAAATACAGAACAAGATTGATTGATTCACACCTACGTGTCTCAGATATTCTGTTCTTATATCATTTCGATACTCACTTCAATTATGTTTCGAAAAGTTATTACTAATGCTACCTTGGTTGATACGGATACCTGAGTGAAATCGAATTCGGGTTCGGATTCTTACACAATCTCAGGGCTGAACAGTATTTCGAACAAACAAAGTTAAAAACTTTTATAATAATTTAAGTATAGAAAAAATCTGACTGAATGTCTTTAATACTTAGGTACATATTTGATAAATGAAAAAAAAAATAAAAAAATGTAGAATATTTTTATGATATTCTCTGTAATCCTCACCCAAAGCCTTCAGATTTCCTCGTGTCGCCCACAAGTCTTTGATACGTGGTTCCTCTTTGAATTCACGCGCGATCATAGCTTGGAGAGAGTCCAGCTCTGGTTGTACAGCTTCCTTCGAGGTGCCACGTATCTGTTGTAACACAGCTGATGCTTCTTCTGTACGACCTACAACATTTTGTTTCAATTGCAAAAGTGTGAACCAGGGACGTCAACCTGTGGCTCGCGGTTATTTCTTTGTAAAATTGGGACTTCCTCATTGCGCTTATAAAAATTATATGACTGTAGAAACTTTTTAAAACGTAAAATCGATCTGAAATTGTGTAGCCGTAGTGACTGTAACTGAGAGAGATATAGTGAATCTTTTGTTTTAAATAAAAGCTCATATAGACATTTAAATAATATTAAAAATATTTTTTTAGGGTGCTAATTCAAAACTGCAATTTTTAAAATGTAGCTATTGGCTCTACTATCTCATACACATAATCCTTTATTTTTTTGGTTTCAATCGATGAATTAGATACAACACAAGGATTCAATAATAATCACAAAGATTTATTACATAAATATATCACAAGAAAATATAAATATAATACTTAATAAATAGAAAAGCGACAAACATGTCTTGAAATGTGGACGGTTTAACAGACTCTAAAAGGACTTTTTGTTTTTTTTTTTTTTATTAAAGTCAATTCGTTTCTAACACTTTGTTTTTAAATTGTAAATGTGTCGTCATCTAACGCATGATTAGACCAACCTTTGTAAACCAAAAAGAACGGCGATTCAGGTATGAACCAGGTGAAAGGCACGTAGAATAGAGACAGGATTCCACCGGCAGCAGTCAGACCCCAATAGGAGGTGAATGGTCCGATAGCATACGCCAACAGGAAGCCCACATTGATGAACAGCAGGAACAAAGCACTAAGTGAACCTCTAATCTTGTCCTTTATGAAAAAAATAAATAAATGGAATGTAAAAACAATTTATGCGTTTTCTTGGGTACGTAAGTACGCCTAAAATCACCAATCGTCAGTTGATTTTGTAAAGAAATAAAGTCCAAATAGCTGTAAGTATTAAAAAACTAGAATCGAGATTAATCTTCAAAAAAGTGACAAATTAATACATATTTTATAAGAGGTTCAATTATTCAGAAACTAATAACAAGAAAGAAATTGACGTGTTCTCTTCTGTCATTGTCAATTTGCATTAGGAAGCAGTTCCTTTAGTCCCTATTTTATAATAAGGGGTTTGTATTTTGTAAGAATTTGTTTACCTCGGCGATCTCTCCGATGTATATAGGGATGGTAGCGAACTGCATACCAGTTGCACATCCCCACATGATGCGCGCCACGTACAAAGTCTCCAGGTTAGTGGCGACGCCGGCCAGCAGCCAGCCCAGTAGCAAAGGAACGTTTGTGCTCATGATGATCCATCGACGGCCTATGTGCCTCGACAACGGGACGGTAATCAGAGGACCTGGATATGAAAGTTGCTTTATTTATAGATACTAATATTAAAAGGGTTAAATTTTATAACTTTGGTTGTGTGTTTGTAGGGGCAATCTTGAGAAAAACTGATCCGAACATGACAATTCGGAATACTTTCTTTCGGATTTTGAATGAATTTGCATTCATATGCAATATGCAATCTGTTGTTTTCTCGCTCATGTATAAACATATCATCTAAATATTTTCTGCGTTTTCGGCCTGGGAATTACTAGAAACGCCTGCGGCCCTAAGTCTAGCACTGATGTAAGTAAGTAGATTTATTTGATTTTTACTTGATTAGTGTTAAATAATTACTAATTATATTTTGCATAATAGAATATTAACTTAGTTGACAATCATAAAAAATAATAATCCGTCTCTATGGGCACTCAACTCCTTTTTTACTATAAGTTCAGAGGAGTATTGTGTACGTAATAGGTTAGAATATAACAGTTCCTCCCTCCCAATTATTTAAGAAGGAACCGAGATGATAGTAGGTACTCAACATCTGATCAAGATGTCGCATCCACAATTCTCTTATATTTGTGTGTACTTCATAATGTAAGGCACCAAGTCTTCTTTTGAAGAGTAATCGTGTGCTTGTACACGGTCTCCAGGTGAAAATATCTTTCTGATGGTGTCAGTAGGTCGGAGCCGGGATGAATGTTTTTGACTAGGTTTCTACTTGACATCTAGTTGTGCGCCAACTTTTTCTTGTACGTTTCGTACTGTTCGGTATTCTTCGAAATCTTGACTTGATCATGAGAAGCTTATCGTGTGATGATAGGGGGTGATATCCCCTTCATAATGTTACTATATACATAATCTGTCTGTCTGTCAGATCATATTTGATACAGATCTTCAGTTACGCGGTAGCGCCGATGGTGTTTGTTAAAAACTATTTTACATGCATAATGTGGTTAAATACCGCCTAGTAATATTTTTCTTATTAGAGTATTCTTTAATATTATGTTATATTAGTTTTCCGTCAACAAGATAAACAGCCTGTGTGTTAATTCGGGCTTAAAATTATCCGTTTTTGTGTTAAAGAATGACAACATACATATTCACAAACTTTCAGATTTGAAATATTATTAGTAGGATTTGTCTAAAAAACTAATCACGGTTAATAATACAGTTTTTGGAGATAGCTAAACGAGTTCTTGTGATATTGATGAAGGTCGATGTAGATTGAATGTTATTCTAATTTAAGTATTTAATTATTACGAATTCGAATTGTCACCGTGACTTGTTCTTTTTTTTAGATTGATATCACGATTCTAAGTTCTCCAAAAAGTAAATGAAAACAATATATACAGGTTTTAAATCTTCATAATAACACATGAATTTATATTTATTAATATGAAACATTTGTGGATCAAAATTTTTAAAAACTTTATATATGGTTATTAAAACCAGCTTTTCGCTAGCGGCTTCGCCGGCGTTGTCCTTTATTTGAAATATAAATCTTCCTCTTGAATCACTTTGTAACGAAAACTGCATTAAAAGCTATTCTGTAGTTTAAAAACTATATAGATAAAGAGTTCGGACGTTTTAAATAAATAAATACGTCGGGGAAATCATAGTCTTATGTAATTTTCTTTAACTGAAAACTTGGATTTTCGTTCGTAAAAGTTACATTCTTACCCCGCAGATATAAAAAGCAGTAATGAATAAAACTAGGTAGTTACCGAGCAATCCCCCGAGCACCAGTAAGGAACCGATCCAAGACTCTTCCTGGAGTGTTGGCTCCTGCGACAGCGGGGAGTTCGCACCCCGAAGCTGCGGCAGCACCGGGGATGTCCACCCCATCGACATGCCCGTACACAGGCTGCCGTAACTTGCTGCGGGAACAAGTATCATCATCATCAGTCAGCGCCGGCTCAATGAAACTTGGCGCTTTAACAAAAATACTAGAATGAGGCTGGAGCCGGAGGGCTTTTTGCCGGATTCCGAGTCCTTCCCCGGGGGGTAATTTCAGAGGGTTTTACCAGGTAGGCCGGCCTCGCTTAAGCCTGTTCTTTTCAGGACGGGCGCGGGATCTGAGAGCAAAACACTAGAACGATGCCCATAAAAAATCAGAATAAAATAAAAGACTAATGTAGCTACACTGATTAAAGAGTGTAGGTAATCTTTCTAAACACAAAAGAAACTCTTAAGAGTACTGCTAGTCTAAAAATGTTATTCTTTTGAATACCGCGGAGATGGATTAAATTCAACAAATTTAAGCTACGATTCAACAAAATCTACGCTAAAAAGCTACGATTAAAAAAAAAACCATCATAATCTTAGAATGATAGTTTATCGCAGGATTACTACGATGTCCCTTGTTATTGTTGAGTTTCCAAAATGTCGTCGCTGTTGCAAGCGGGTTGCTTCCACGGGGTAAGCCCGTAATCAAAGCGCTTACAATATTTCCCATTGGGGTAAACCCCTGAAATCTTGACTAAAACATATCAAAACAAATAATATGTGTGCCATGTCATGCCACCCCCCAAACACAAGCGCCCTAGGTAGTTACACTATATGGGTGAGACAGTTATGTCAACAGTATATTAATCTCACAAGCAGTTGCACAAATGTTCATTTAAATTTTCATTAGTTTAAAGCGACATTACTCATACAAATTAGATATTGATTATGGCTTAAAATCATCATTAAATATTAATGTACGTCTGTGCAACTGACCGTTAGTGTTCTCATGCACGTTATATCACGCACGAAAGAAAGGGTCTAGTAAAGTTATTGGTAAGTTATTGGTCACCCATCCTATGACCGGCCCTTGTGAAAGTTGCTTAACATCCGCATTGCAGACTGAATACACTATAGGGGGCGTCCATAAATTAGGGAAGTTTGGCACCATTCGTACACGGGGAACCTTCATACAGTCACTACTACATCTTGTAGAAAAGCCTAATTATTACGACTTTATGTGGATAGGCGCCGGCGACTGCCAGTTGTCCACGAAGTTAGCCACACATGCAGCCACTGCGAGCGAAACTAGAGAACTTAAAGTGTTTTGGCATGCTCATAGTAAATATTTTGTTAATTTTTTTGGATCTTCCGTGCTTTAATCATACGTCAAATTTTATTGAATTATTGCTTAATCGTAAGTGAATACGATTAAGATAATAATATATATCTATATTGTGTATTTTTCTACGTGAGTTTTGTGTTAGAAAAAATAATTTTATTATTGATTTTCGAGGCACGTTCGTACATTTCCAGAAAGGGCACATTCGTACGCGTATGTGTGTACCCCCCCTAACAATTTTTATTATTATATCAGAAAATTTAGAAAAAATGATCTTAATTTTAAGAAGAAAAGGCAGACGCGTTCCCAATATTAATTAAATGAGTTTTTTTGCGTCTGTAAAAGGTGTTTTTAAATAGTAAAAAACAAATTGTTTTACTGAAAAGATTAACCACTTGAAAAACTTCATAAACACATTTCGGACTCACGATATTGGAAGTCACAACACTATCAAATGATTATGATAAAGTTTTGAAATATAAATGTTTGCAAAATTGTTATGAAACTGGCTTCGCTGATATAGAATGGATGCACGGTTTTCGTAAAAAGATAGTTAGACTGTAAGCCTATATGTCGTTTAGTTTATCACATCGTTGATAAGTTTATGATCAATGAAAACGATTTTTTTTATTCATTTTTTGTTTTACTTAATATATATGAAGTTACCACACTGTCTGAATGTTCCCCGGCCCATGTACGATTGTACCCCTTAATAGGGGTAGATTCGGACATTTCATTAGCTTTTAGTAAAATTCAATCCTTTGATATATTATACAAGATATCGACTTTGAACTTTTTAAATAAGGAGCAGAAAGTATGCTTTATATTTTAATAAGTAATTGAGTAATTTATCTTTGATTATCAATATTTTAAAAATCATTGACTAAAAAGTGTACGAATGGTCCCAATCTTCCCCTACGTGAGATGTTTAAGGGGGGGAGGGAGTCGAGTCAAATCTCATCTAATCTCACGTTGGAGAGAGAGGGGGTCTCGGCAAATATCACGCAATTTTTAAAATAAGGCTCGGTGCGGGGAATCCCTCATAGAGTGACAAATCTAAGGTTAAGATCATTCACTAATTCGTTGGAAAGAAAATAATTTCATTCGTACTTTGACATTATACATCACTCCTGATTGTCAAACCACTATACTCGTTTTATACCAAATAGCTCAATTTAATGGTATAATAAAGGTACAATGTAGCCCGTCCTTTGTTTTCGCGCCACTGTCAGCTGAACATGTGACTCGATGAATGAGAGCAATATGGATTACTAGTCTCTAACTAGTCGTAAATAAAAGTACGAAGCGAATTATTTTTTTTCTTTTTATTAAAAAATCCAACGTGTTTAAATAAGAAACCCACTTTTTGAAAAATCTCACGTTAGATTTGGGGATGGGGGAGGGGATTGAATAAAATCTCACGACATCTCACCAGGGAGGGAGGTAGGGTCAGAAAATTTAAAAAAACACCTCACGTAATTTATGGACGCCCCCATACGAAATGTGACGTTTCGAAGGCTTTCGATCAAAGACGATACAAGGGAAAAGGGGGGAGATCTGATACCGATGTAGATGTTGCGTATACTGGATCAATAAAGAATGTTCTGCCAATGATGGTCTAGATTCTTATAACAAATATTTGTGCTTTTGTTTAATTCTATCTAAGTAATTTCGTTTCTTTGTAATGTTTTTTTTATTTGTATTACAAATAATGGGTTGCCTATCCATTTTTACATTATATGGCTATACCATGTCGAGATAGATAATGACAGCAAGAGCTGTAATAAGGAATGTAAGTGTATATATGTATAATCAATTGTTTTTATACTTACCTAAAGTAGGGATAGTGGTAAAACTATATCAACACTTAATACTACAATACGTAGAAGGTATTGTGGTAAGTTGCAACTTGTTGAATATTTAATCAAATGAATGAAATATTTATTAGATTTGTATCATAAATTCCGCAGTCCTAAGGGCAACCGGTCTCAAGTAGATTGGAATTGTTTTGCAACGGTTAGATCTTGATTGTACAAAAGAATATATTGAAATAGTAAACGTTATTTAAAGCCTAAATAATATAAAAAAGAAATATAATAAATGAAGTAAATATTAAATGGAGTTATAAACAGTTAACTATTATACTGTTCTGTTAAATTCAGTAAAATATAACCTTTATTATCTGAAGTAGGTTTTATTTGATTGAACCTTTACGCTATGACAGAGCTGCGCCTGACGTCAAGTTCGACGCTAATAGCAATGCTAGGCCCGGCCCTTATCTCTTTTTACAAAAATGATTTAGAAGAATTTAAAAAATTATACGAATATCCAATAAATTTCATAAAGGATTTGACCTCAAATTTGGAAAAAATATATTACAGTGCGCAGCTTGAGGTGACTTTGCGATTTTTTTTTCACATAAGAATTGATAATAATTATTTTATTTAATACGCTCTAAGAAAATAAAAACGAGTTGTAAACTGATAACACAACTCAAACCTCAGTGGTTTTTAGATGTTATCTTAAATTGTTTGTTATGTATATGTTTGTTTACTTGATAATAAATGAAAAAAAAATATTATCAAATTTTATTCCAATAAAATTTTAATAAATTATTATTAACTGACAAGAATTGATTACAATAAAATACTTTACCCAAGGAAGCTGCTAAATATTGACGCCATTTCAATTTTAAAGTGCCAATCATATCACTAAAAAATCAGTTGAAAATTTATTTTGTAAACCGTTCTAATTTCGTCATAGAAATCACTGAAGATATCTTCACTATTATTTTTCAAAATTATATTAAATATATATATGCCTGTCTCAGACGTGTTTACAGCGAGACACTGCAATTAATTCTGCCCATAACTTCGCATACAACAGTCTTAGTCAAATCCCTTACAAGATTTTTTCTATTTCCTTAAAAAAGTTAATTGGTTACAAATCGAGTGACAGACCAATGTTTTCAATGAACGAGTTGTTTTTATAATATATCGAACGCAGCGGCGCGTGTTTGTTAATGAAAATAATAAAAAAAAAAAACTTAAAAAAAGGGTTTCCAGATGATTCTTACATTACCTACTCATGTAGAATGCAAATCACATTGTTTTCCGAAATTAACTTGGGTATTTTTTTACTCAGAATCAACTCTGTCCCGGTTTGATCTTTTACGTACGTTAATGAGATCGATTCTAATTATAATTTCTAATATCTCAGGTATTCTGAAAATGTAGTGTAGCATTTACTTAGATTGCAAGATATTATTATAATTAAGTGCATTAATTTTTTTATTATAAATACTGTCTAAAATCAAAGTTATTTTTAAGCGTAAGTTATTGAATGTCACATGTTTTCTATTTCAATTTTTGATGGAAAGCCTTCATTTTATTTATCCAATAGACGAATTAATATTAGACATTTATTACAGAAACAGCAAATCATTAAGGTTTAATTTAATAACAAAATTCTAAGTAACGTAAGAGCCATATAGGTAACCATTTTAAATATAGTTTACCAAATGACTCGGTTAAATATTTTCTTTCTATTAAGGAACTCATTAATTAATAATTATCGTGGCATTATCAAAATGACATTCCGTTATACGATTACTATTTTTATTTATATTTTTATTTTTTTACTAGAAGTCATGGGAAATGACTTCGGTGGAGAAAATATAGCCTATGTGATCCGTGTATGACGAAGCTGCCGTAGGTGAAGGATTTTCCGTAAACAGCGATAATTATTTTCGGAGTCTATCCAACGCAAACAAACAAAC